CTGCAGCTGCAGCAGCTTTGGCGACGTGAGGAACTTGGCAAAGTAGACCTCGCGCCCCATCTCGTGCGCCGCCTCCTCCATCTCCGCGTCCTCGCCCTCGCCCCCGCTGGCGGCCGCCGCCTCGTCGCCACCCGGAGATGGGTCGGCGGGCGCAGCCTGGAGACGAGTGTGACCCACAGGGGGTGTGAGGTGCGAGAGTCCCACAGGCGCGAGGCCGGGGTGGGTTGTGCGCAGCCTCAGCCGAGGGCGCGGCGTCGGTTGAGACGATGTTTGCGAAGACCTGGAGGACGGGAAGGGGGGGGCGGGGGGGCTGAGGTTGCGAGGGGCGAGGGGGCGAGGGGTGGCGGAGGGGCGGAGACGGGCCGGAGACGGGCCGGAGGAGGGGCGGAGGAGGGGCGGAGGAGGGGCGGAGGAGGGGCGGAGGAGGGGCGAGGGTCCGATGGTGCGCTGAGCCTGCAGCACGGTCTCGAGGCGCGAGACGAGAGTGGCCCATGACTCTGGCTTGACGGCGGCGGCGGGGTCGGCGAAGGCGGCCTGCAGCCCCCAGAAGGAGGCGTACAGCGACCCGTCCTCCGCCGCGCTCCCCTCCTGCTTGTCGTCTGCCGCCTCGTCGGGCTGGAGCTCGAGGTCGGAGGGGGCCATCGCGCCCTTGAGGTTGACGCCGGAGCGCTCCGAGAGCGGGAGCATGTACGCCATGAGCAGCAGCACGCGCCCGCAAAAGTTGGTGTTCTTCGACTTTGAGAGCCGGCGGAGCAGCTCGTTGCAGGTGCGGATGAAGGTCAGCTTGGCGCGGTTGTTGGTCGAGCGCATCAGCTTGGCGAGCGCCGCGCCGCGCTGCTCGATCTGCGGGAAGAGCGCCTCCGATTCGGAGATGACCTGCGAGTCGAAGAGGTCCTCCATCAACGCGAACGGCGTGTTCAGGTCCGCCGCCCTCGCCGTCGCCAGCTCAATCGCCCGGTCGATCAGCGCGACGACCAGCGCGCCGGCCGCGCCGGCGCTCGACTTGCGCTCGAGGAAGATGCGCATCGACAGCTCGAGCGTGCCCCGCTCCTCCGCGTCGAGCGGCTCCGCCTTGGCCGCCGCGCCGTTGGCCCCCTCTGCGCCGCTCGTCGCCGCCTCGCCGCTGCTTGCGCCCGCGCCCCTGACGGCGGCGACAACGCTGTCGACAAAGGCGGCGCCCGCCAGCCCGTCGGCCCGCACGCCCTCCTCTAGGACTGAGGCGAGGCGCGACTGCGCGGCGGCGAAGTTGTCACCCGACATGGGCTCGCTAAAGCGGGCGCTTACTTTTCTTTGTCTTTTTTGCCTTCCAGAAGGCTTGCGTAAAAGAATTCGCGGGTGGAGCAATCACCCTACCACACACGCTCAGCTCCTCAGCCGACACCATGACACCCTGCTCGTTCTCAGCGCAGCGCTCTTGCATTCACACCCGCACAGCACCCTGAGAGGTATTTTTATGTTCCCCCACCCGGGTGGGGGAATTTTATATTTAGCAATATGAGCCGCCGTCCCCACTCGAACTCGAGTCCGCCGACCGCTATAGGTCGAGCGGGGAGGGAGGCGCTGCCTCCGCGGCGGGGACGGAGGCGACACCTCCGTCCCCACCGCCATTGGTTCGAGCGGCAAGCCTTAGGTAGAGCGGGGACGGAGACGTGGAAAAGCGTGCTTGTGAGTGGAAGCCACAAGCGCGCTGGCTCCGGTCGTTCGTAAATGAGGGTGTTTTTCTGTGTGTGTGTTTTCTTGAAGCCTTTCTTAAACTGGGTAACGAACCCCTGTCACTCCGTGAAGTGAACAGAAGAGAGGTGTGAACAGACTGGCGTGCTGATCGTGAAGAGGCGCCATGTCATCGGACACCGAGAGCACGGTCTGCGACCCGCGGTTAGAGGTCGCACCCGAGCCGCAAGTCCCCAATGATAATGGAGGGGAGTTCATGAGCAAGTCGCTGGCCGAATACCTCACCACGAATGAGATTAAACACACCACCAGCTCTCCCTACTCGCCGAACCAAAACGCCATCGCCGAACAGGCGATGTGGCGGCTCTGTTCGGTGGCGAGGGCGATGCTGCTTGAGTGCGGACTCCCTACCTGCCACTGGGCGATGGCGCTCACGCAAGCAGCGCTACGACTCAACATCACGCCTCGACGCACGATCCGAGCCGGATCCAAAATTAAAGGCGCGAGCCCCGACCCAAGCGATGTGGCCTGGACCACCCCTTATGAACGTCTAAAAGGGCGCAAGCCAAACGTGCGCTTCCTGCGTGTGTTTGGATGCCGGGCCTGGGTACTCAACGAGCCTATCCAAGGACGTGCCAAGCTCGAGTCAATCGCAACAGAGGGATGGTGCATCGGGCCAGCGCGATACTCGCGTGGAATGGTCATTTACATCCCCGACAGCGAATCGCCCAACGACTTAACAAAAGGCAAGTACAAGATCACCCGGAACATCCGGGTAGACGAGTCGTTCACGCCCAAGGGACGCGTCGACAGCGGGCCATCACTAGCGCCTCCGATCGTCGCGGGGAGTGAACGCCCCCAGGCAAAGGACGTGATACTCTTCCGAGTCCCTGCCAAAGCTAAACCGGGTGACGTGCTCGATGTCACCTCGCCCAAGACGGGTAGAAGCGTGCAAATACGCGTCGCCGAGAGGATGTACCCAGAAACATACTGGACGGCGTACGACACGACCATCCCGAACGCCGACGACGCTGTCTTTGGCACAGCGCAATCGATAATCGACGCGAGCGCTGATGGAGCCGACGCTGGGAGCACCACTGCACCCTCGCGGGGCCTTCCCACAGAGGGGGTGCTAGTCGGCGGCAAAAGCAAGCAGCTCAAGAAGATATCCAAGCGCGCTCGCAACAACGCCATCAAGGGTGGCCCCGTCAACAGCCCGTCGTCTAACCCGACACTTCCACCAACCTGGGTGACAGCTGTTCCAGGGGGTGGCGCCTCCGGGGACGATGTCACCTGGGCAACTCCGGTCCCACCGCCCAGGGTGACCGCTGTGCCCGGAGGGCCCAAAGGTACTGACGTGACTTGGGCGAGCGTCGCTGGGCGCCATGACAGCCAGCAGCCTACACCCCAAGCCTCGGCTGAGGGGGTGGACGGCGCGCAGCTCGTGACTGCGAACATGACGCATACAATGCGCATGCACAGGACAGACTTCGAGGAGCTCAGTGAGGCTCTCGAAGACGGTGACGAGGAAGCGATCGAGCAGTTCATCACCAAGCAGAAGATGTTACGAGGCGATGACCCCGACATCACATACACGGTCGGCATCCCCCCAAGCTGCAAGTCTGCCCTAACGGGCCCTGACAAAGAGAAATGGATACCGTCATACACTGAGGAGCTAACGGCACTCCAACAAAATAAGACGTTCTCCGTAGAGGACATCCCCGCCGGCGTCCATGTCATCGACCCAACAGTTGTGCGAGATGTCAAACGTGATGAGAACGGCCGCCCAGACCGCTGGAAGACGCGCGTCTGCGCTCGAGGCTTCATGCAGCGGCTGGGCGAACATTACTTCAACACGTTCAGCAACACGGTTCGATATGAGACGCTGCGACTACTTATGGCGATAGCCGCAGGCAACGACCTCGCCCTTACGAGTCTTGACATCAAGACGGCTTACCTCAACGGCTACATCGAAGGGGGCGTCCAGATCTACATGCGCTTTCCTGCCGGATGGCACTTTGAGGGTGACGGATTCGACTACACCTTCAAATACACTGGTGATCACACGCGCAAGAGGGGGCGTCCCGAGCGTGGACTACGATTGGTCAAGGCCATCTACGGTCTGAAGCAGAGCGGAGCACTCTGGGAAGAGACGCTCCGATCGTTCCTACTCTCCATCAACGCCATCCAGTGCGTCGTTGACCCGTGCCTGTGGCGGTACTCCAAAGGCGGCAACACCCTGCTCTTCGTCGTGTACGTTGACGACATCGTGATCGCCTGCTCCAACCAAGACTTTCGCGATGCGTTTGTGAGCATGCTCCAAGAGCGATTCACATTGCGCGACAATGGCCCACTCACCTGGGTGTTCGGTTCTGCCGTCGAGCAGGACCTAGAGCAAGGCACCGTTAGCTTTCACCAAAAGCTCTTCATTCAAGATACCGTCAAGGAGTTCCTGGGCGACGACCCCCGCCCCAGTAAGCGCGCCGTACCGTGCAACGACGACATCACCAATCTCACCCACCTCGAAGAGGGTGAGATGATGCACCCACGATACGCCGAAATTGTTGGCAAGATAGGGTGGTTGGCCAACATCTCCCGACCAGACATTGGCTACGCCTACTCGATGCTCTCAAAGTTCCTAAAGGGGGGCGGGGAGCGCCATTTCAACGTTGCCCTTGGCGTCCTCGCTTACCTGGACAAGACCAGGGACAAGACGATCACCTATCGCCGCGAGGCGGATGGCAACCTCGCCGATCACATCGTAGAGCATGCCGACTTAGCCAGCTTCGACTACGACAGGTTCGTGCCGATCATCTTCTCGGACACCTCTCATGGCGGGGAAAAGCCTCAGGCGGGATACGTGATTTTTGTGTGCAATGGGCCAGTCTCTGCACACGCTGGACGCCTTAAGTCCACGCCCACCTCATCGTCCGAAGGCGAGTATGCCATTGCGACCAAGGCCACACAAGCGGCCATCGCGGTCTCGGACACCATCAAGTTCATGGCCGAGGACCTACCCGACTACAAGGGCAATAAGTCGGACCTCGGATGCACAATGCCGCTCTTCTGCGACAATAGGGCGGCCGTGCTCCTTAGCGAGGGCAACACCTCCTCGAAACGCATGCGACATGTGGCGACTCAGATCGCCTTCCTGCGCGAGCAAGTGAAGGATACGAAGCGCGTTAGGCTCACCCACATCCGAACGCAGGGGCAAGTGGCCGACCTTTTCACGAAGCCACTGACAGCGGCTGTCTTTCACCCTCTACGCGCATTCGTCGTGTCGTAGCGCCGAGTGACCACTCGCCGACGCCCACCCACGTGATTGAGGTGGTGAGCAGACGGAGGTTGCGTCACCGTACCAGCAGATGCATGCATGAAGATGGCCAGGAACGAGCCAAGCATGTGCAGCGGCTAGGATGTACAGCAGGAACGCGCCGCGTACACCAGCTAGCCACTGAGGGGGTGAGCTGCTCGTTCTCAGCGCAGCGCTCTTGCATTCACACCCGCACAGCACACTGAGGTATTTTTATGTTCCCCCACCCGGGTGGGGGAATTTTATATTTAGCAATATGAGCCGCCGTCCCCACTCGAACTCGAGTCCGCCGACCGCTATAGGTCGAGCGGGGAGGGAGGCGCTGCCTCCGCGGCGGGGACGGAGGCGACACCTCCGTCCCCACCGCCATTGGTTCGAGCGGCAAGCCTTAGGTAGAGCGGGGACGGAGACGTGGAAAAGCGTGCTTGTGAGTGGAAGCCACAAGCGCGCTGGCTCCGGTCGTTCGTAAATGAGGGTGTTTTTCTGTGTGTGTGTTTTCTTGAAGCCTTTCTTAAACTGGGTAACGAACCCCTGTCACTCCGTGAAGTGAACAGAAGAGAGGTGTGAACAGACTGGCGTGCTGATCGTGAAGAGGCGCCATGTCATCGGACACCGAGAGCACGGTCTGCGACCCGCGGTTAGAGGTCGCACCCGAGCCGCAAGTCCCCAAGGGGCCGGGCCAGATAAGGCGCGTGCCCCAGCTGTTCACAGCAACAGCACGGTCTACCCCCGTCGTCCCACCCCAAGTGCAGCAGACACCCGAGCAGGCTCGCAAGCTCGAGCTTTCTGCAGCAGAAATCTACGAGGCGCAACAGCCGTGTGTGAAAGCCGACGCATCACCGCCAACACACACCGGCGCCTTGTACCCGAAACCGAACCGTCGTCACCGCCACACACACCTGCGCCTTGTACCGGTGGCGTAGGTGACACCCACGCCGATGCTCGATCGGTCGCAGAACCCGTCCGGCTCCCGCCTGTGGTGGATGACCTGCTTTGGCTACTGGCTGTTCGGCTCCTTCGGCCTCTTCTTCTCGCTCAAGGAGTGGCTCGATCCCGCCTTCTCCGACTGGCTCGCGCCCGGGCCCGGCTCGCCGCTGCTGGGCGACTCTGGCCGCATGCTCGTGTTCGAGGCCGGGCCGGCCGGCGTCCAGTCCAAGCTGCTCGGCGTGCAGGCCAACCTCCTCGAGGGCGTGCTGCTCGACGTCGGCGCGCTCTCCCTCCTCTCGTGCTGGTTCGAGTCGCGCCGCATGCAGCTGCTCACCGCCTACGCGGCGCCCGTCTCGGCCGCCTACTTTTTGCTCAACATCTTTTACTTCCAGCTCACCGGCGCGCCCGAGATGGTGCCCGCGATGCTGCTGCTCGGCGCGCCTCCGATCCTGCTCTCGCTGCTGCGGCTGAAGATCTTCCTGCGGGACGAGGCGGCGCTCGCAACCTACGCCGCCTACCTCGCGGCGATCGGCGCGGCCGTGCTCGGAGGCGGCCTCCTGCTGCAGCAGCGCGCCGAGGCGCACCGCGCCGACATCCACCTCTTCGTGGCGGTGCGCGACCATTTCACATCGAACGGCTTCACGTGGACGGCGGGGCTCGACTACCCCGACGGGTTCAAGCCGCCGCGCGCCAGTGGCTGGCTCGGTCTCTTCTGAGCGTCTCGTTGCGCGTCAGTGTCCGTGCGCCGCAGCCTCCCTCCTGGGCTGACCGCCCCCCCGCGGCCGCCGAAACGGGAGCGAACCAACGACATCAACGCGGGTGGAAGAGAATTAGAGAACGAGAAGGAGCTCGCTCGTAGTACAATGTAGTAGCATCGGCGCATGGCCGGCATGCACTTGGAAAGAATTTAAGAAAATCAACTCTCTGTCTCACAGCAGTGAGCAGACAGGCTCGAAAGAAAACAGACAACCCAAGGGAGGGATGGGAGGACGGCACGCGCCGCCCCCACCACACTTTGACACACACAAAAAAAGGGTTTTGAGTGTGCTGACTGCTGTGTGGTCAACGATTCTCATGCCCACACAGAAAGGACCAAAATGATGTACAAAGTTGCTGAGGCCTCTGGCAAGCAGTTTACTATGTAAACCCAATTTTGGTGTTTATAACATTTTTGGCTGGCCGCCTGGCAGCGGGGGGCCAGCCCCCGCCATGGGCCCCGCCGGCTGCGCGGCACGGAAAATCTCCTAAGTCGATTTGTACCGGATTTTGAAGATTTTGGCAAAAGTGCGAAACCGAAAATGGCGTTTAAATTTGCGCACCTGCTGTCCGCCGCCTGCGGCGGCGCTGCGCGCCGCTGGCGCGCGCTGCGCGCGCGTTTTTGTTTGGGGTGCAGCGGCGCTGCGCGCCGCCGTAGGGGCGCCTGGGGGGGGCCTGCACAAAGGATGCGAGCTCGAGCACATCGACGCAATCGACGGCGGCATCGAGGAGGGGATCAACCTGGGTGGGGGTGGGGGATGGGTGGGGTGGGGTGGTTTGGGGGGGGGGGGGGGCCCTGGTGGGAAAAGGGGGGGGGGGGGAGCCGTTGGGTCACGTGACCAGCAGCGGTCACATGACCAACGGCGTGCGGCGTGGACGTGCCCCTGCGGCGGCGCGGGCCCGAACCCCCGGGGCATGTGGGCGGCGGCCGGCGCGAACCCCTCGGCCCCGCGGGCGGCGCGGCGGGGCCGCCGACGCCCGCGCCGAGCACGGGGCCCTGCCGACCCTGCGGTGGGAGGGGAGGTGGGTCGGACGAGCACGCGGGCTAGGCGCGCGGCTTGTGTCGTGCGTGCGCGCGTGCGCGCGAGGAGAGGAAGGGGGCGGTGCGGCGGGGAGGGGGATACCTGGGGCGGCGGGGCAAAGGGCGCGGGCGCGCCGCCGAGCACGCCGGCAACGCCCGCCGGCTGCGGCACCTGCCGGACAGTAGGGGGGGGGAGCGTGGCGTGGGGCAGAGGGGAGCGAGGAGGGGCGAGGCGACACAGGACGAGCGCGCGCGTGCGCGCACGTGGGCGGGCGGCGGGCGGCGGGCACGCACCTGGAAGGGCACGAGAGGCACGAGAGGCCCCAGAGTCGAGTGCTGCACCGAGTTGACGTTGGCGCCGTGCTCGAGCAGGAGAGCCGCCGGCGGCGCGAAGTGCAGTCGGTCAGCCGGCGCCGGTCCATCGCATGCCGCTGGCGCCGGGCCGTGCGATCAGTCGAGTGAAGGGTTGGCTAGCCTTGCCGTTCAAGATGAAGCCCGCCATGTCGGCATCGGCTGCTGCACGTTGAAGGAACTGGGCGGCCGAGCCGACGACGGGCACGATCCGCTTGCTCTCCTTGTGCTGCAGCCACGGTAGCTCGCGCAGCATCCGCCAGCCGTCCTTGCAAAGGTAGCCAACGACGCCTCGCGAACCCTCGCCGACCAGCTCGAGCATGTTGTTGTAGGTCGGTTTGGTGTTCTTGCCGAACATCTGCGACAGCGCGGACCTGCCCGCGACCACGTGGACGACGCCCGCCGAGTCCACGAGCGTCCATGATGGCTCCAGCGCCATGATCGACGCGGATCTTCGAGGTGTTCAAGGGGCGCCGGTAGATCTTCGAGGTGTTCACGCGGATCTTCGAGGTGTTCCAGCGGCGGTGGAAATGACTTTCCTCATCAGCGAACCTCCGCCCAGCAAAAACTCAGGACCCGCTGACGGTGACAATCGTTGTGTGTGGTGCTAGCCGTCGCCCAGAAAGAAAGAAAGAAAACAGACAAATCCAAACGAGGGATGGGGGAGGAGGACAGGGTCCACACCTGCACGAGCAGGATTTTGGAAGGACGATCAGGGGCACAGGTGGGGCTCTCCTGCTCCTGACAAGGGACACGACAGGCTCGCAGCGCGGTGCACGGCGTGGACTCCCAACTCCACTGGCGGTCTCATCTCAGTCTAGCGACCTGCCTCCAGCTTCTCACCGTCGCCCACACTTGGCATGCAGTTGAGTGATTTTTTTTTCAGCAGCGGAGGGGGGGTCGTTGCGGGTCGAGCCGAGGTGCGAGGACGATAGAGAGACCGCGGATGCAGGCGCGATTCGTCGACCAAGGAGAGCCGGCCCGACCCCGGAGGGGAGGCGACACGATCCAATGCCGCCGCCCTCGCCCAAAGGGAAAAGGCAAAGTTATATTGCAATATAGGAGCGTCATCTTGTAGTGAACAGGCCGAGTTCGCGGTTTGAGCGCCCAGCGCAGACCGACCGACCGCAGGGGGGGTCCGGTCGGCGGCCGCGGAAGACCGCAAACCGGAGGGGGGGTCCGGTCGGTCGGAGCGCAGACCGAGGGGGGGGTCGGTCGGGTTGGCTCGAGGGTCACACCGCACACGCTCGCCACAGCTGTGAATAAATTAGTATCTCGAAATACTAGAGACCAAGCGCCCTCTCCCCGTCTAATCACTCCTCGTCGTCCGAGTTGCTGAGCTCGAGACCGCCCTCAGGTTTGGGTCGGAACACGAGCTCGTCCATGTCCACGCTCTGTTCGTCGTCGTCGTCCAGAGGGAGAGATTTTTAGCAATACCAAACAACTCTAACACTCACACGTCATTTGGGGCCTGGAGCCCTGTTCACGCGCGCGCGAGACGTGCAGACAGGGTTGCCAGGTGAGAGCGAATGGCGCGGTTCACGCCTCGCACAACAGAGAGAGAGATGCGCTCTGCATGGTGGGACATAAAAGAAAGCGAGTACTTGGGCGAGTAGGCCGTGCGGTCGACGCTGCCGCGCGCGGCTTTGCGCGCGAGTTTGTTTTGTCGTCCATGATTAGCTTCGCCGGCGACACACTGTACCCGTTGACGAGCCGCTTGAGCGCGGCCAGCACCTCCTTCTGCCGGCCGCGTGCCCACGGGCCCAGCATGCAGTAGAACTCCTGGAAGGTGAACTGCTCCTGACCTCCTCCGACTCCAATCGAGACTCCAATAAGAGGTCCACCTCCTTCTCCACCTATGTGTGGGGTCGGGCTCGCTCGGTCGGGCCTCGACGAAGAAGTCTCCTTGGATCTTGGCTGCGTGACTAGTTTTCATAGTGAAAACCGGCGATTTCGAAGCGCCCGTGGCGGTTCGCGAGAAGGAGGGAGAGCGTTTGAGGGGGCTCACACGGCAAGGACACCGACCGAGGGGGGGGTCGGTCGTCACATCTCCCGCCGCCGAGAGAGCGAGCGACCGGAGGGGGGGTCCGGTCCACCTCGGGGGCAGACCACCGACCGGCGGGCGGGGCCAGAATCCTCCCTTTCCATTGCGGGTCGGCCGTCCAAGCCGGCGTCTTGCGGCCTCGTGCAAGTCAGATGCGGCTGACGTCTCTCAAGGGTGTCTTTGTCGGCTCCGGCTCAGAGGGCCTGCAGCAGCCCGAGGTGGTGACAGAGATCCTCTCTCTTGCCGGGAAGGCGCCCACGGAATTGAACGTGCTCTACATCGGGACTCCGACGTACGAAAAAGCACAGTCTCGCGAGAACCAGACCAAGCTCCTCGCCGCGGCGGGCTGCAGCGTGACTCACCTCAAGACGACGCTCGCGGGCGACTGCACCGCTGTCGAGATGGAGGAGGCGTGCGCGGCGGCGAACATCATCGTCGTTTCGGGCGGCAACACGCTGTATGGCATCGACCGTTGGCGCGCGACCGGGCTCGACCGGCAGCTCAAGGCGGCAGGAGAGCGCGGCGCGCTGCTGTGCGGTGGAAGCGCTGGCGCGATCTGCTGGTTCGACGGCGGGCACTCGGACTCTGGCGACCCGGACACCTACATCAGCTCCGCCGCTGCCCCCGCCCCGGCCGGCGCCGACGAGGCGACGACGTTCGCAGAGGGCGGGGTGGCGGCGCAGTGGGATTACGTGCGCTGCCCGGGCCTGGGCTTCCTGCCCGGATTGTGCTGCCCTCACTTTGACAAGACGCAGTCCAACGGCGTGCTGCGCGCGCACGACTTTGACGAGATGATGCTGCGGCACCCAGGAGAGAGGGGCGTCTGCATCGACCACTTCGCCGCGCTCATCGTCGACGGAGCGCGCTACCGCGTCCTCTCGCTGCCCGGCAAGCCCGGCTCCGTCCTCGGGGGAGCCTTCAGCGAGGCGCGCGCGGGGTTGCCGGGCGTGTGGGTCAAGGAGGTGGCGGGGGGCGAGGTCAAGACGTGGCTTGCGCCGGCCGACGGCTCGCTGGACGAGCTGCTGCGCGAGCCAACGGCCGTGGTCGAGGACAGGAGGCTCGCAGCCATCCGAGCCGCTAACCCGTCGCCAAAGGAGCTGTGACCGGTGGTGACGGGGATCCGAGGCAGATCCGAGGCAGATCCGTGCCGTGCCGTCCCCACCGGCACCGCACACGGCCGGCCACCAACACTGGCGGGCCCTCTGCCTCTCACTCACCTGTCTCTGGTGTCTGGTCTCTCCTGCAGTTTTTGCGTTTCTCATTTTTCTGCTCTCCCACTTTTCGAAGTGCTAAGATGTGTCCCCGGTGTGCGCAGTCTCACGGCGCGCACAGCGGCCGCTCCGCGGCCGCGCCCCGGAAACCTGTACTCTTTTGGCCAACGCTCCACCGGCTCGGGGTCTTTTTTGCCTTTTTGGAATCAATGCACAATGGGTCACATGTTGGAGATTTGCAGGAGCGCCCTCGCTGCGCACGCGCGAGAAATGGAGAGAGACACTGAGAGAGCCGCAGCCGGCCGCAGAGAGCTTGAGAGCTAGAGGTGCCACCCCGTGCCAGTTCACTTGACGCCCTGCGCGTGGGCCGCGTCGTCGTCGAGGGTGTCGTCGTAGTCGTGCGCCGCCGCGCCCCTCCGCACAGCGTTCCCGACCTTGCTCCTCGCCTTGCCCTCCGCATACTTCGCGACATGTCTCAGGTACCGCTCCCTCTCGGGCAGGGTGGGCGCGACGTACGGCAGGCTGGTCGCGCGGCTGAGCCACGCCTGGTACCTCTCCCACACGCCCCCCTCGCCCGAGGCGGGCACCGCAAACCCGCGGTAGTGCTCGAGCGCGTACAGCCGGTACGCATACGGCAGCAGCACGCAGTCGACGAGGCCGAGCGAGTCGCCGCCCCAAAAGTGGCCTCGGCTCTCCCGCGTGAAGGCGCGCAGGCCGTCGAGCACCTTTGCGAAGCCGTCCGCCCGCTCCGCCGCGTCGGTGCGGACCAGCGCCTGGTAGTAGCCCGAGGTGACGCTCTTGTTGACCTGCTCCGCCGCGACCCGCGCGGCCGCTCGCTCGAACGGGTCGGTCGGAAGCAGCGGCGGCGCAGTCGAGCCGTTGGCGGCGGCGAGCTCGTCGATGAACTGGATGCATACGATCGACTCGGTCACGGCGCGGTTGGTGGCAGGGTCGAGCAGCGTCGGCACCATGCCCTTTGGGTTGGCCGCCAACAGCGCCGGTGACTTCCAGTGGTACCACCAGTCGCTCCGCTCGGTCGCCTCAAAGTCCTCGTCCCCGGTCGGCGCCCGCTGCTCCCAGCCAAGCGACTCCTCCCACTCGTAGGGAACGGCCTGGCGGTGGTGCTCGAGCGCAAGCGTGGCGCGGTGCGCAAACGGGCAGAACCAGGCCGAAAAGTACCGGAGCGGGGCGGCGGCGGTGGAGGATTGGCCGCGCCGCGAGGTGCGGAGCGTCGTGGCAGCTCGGAGCGTCGTGGCAGCTCGGAGCGTCGTGGCGGCTCGGAGCGTCGTGGCGGCTTCGAGCGTCGTGGCGGCTCGGAGCGTCGTGGCAGCAACGCGTTGCATGCAAGAAGCAGCAGCGCGGGCAGTGAGCTCAGGGTTCCAACTTTTTCCGGGGCATGGTATGGGGTCTGGCAGGTGGAGTGCTCTCTACTGCCGCGGCGCCCCTGTCGGTTCGGAGGCGCCCGGCGGCCGCGCGCATGGTGCCGACGTTGACCGGCTGCTCTCGCGGCGCCGAGACGTGCCGCTTCGGTCACGTCACGCGCGCTGCGAGGTGTCTTTTGGCATGTGCGCGCTTGCCAAAGACGCCAGCAAGCTCGCCTTCCTTGCCTGCGGCCGCGGGCGTGCGGGCGGGCCTGCCAGGCTCGGCGACGCGCCGCGCGGGTCTTCGTGCTCGCGACCCGCGACGAGCCAGCATGGCTCGTCGCTCGACGGTAGGGTGCCCACAGGACCCAAAAGAAAATAGCTTTCTGGCTCAAAAAGGGACGCACGCGGCAAATCTGATGTTGGCCAGTTCCAATAGGAGAGAGGCCTCTTCCGTTGGGGGACCGAGTGACTAGGAAACGAGGGTTCCCCATTGTGAGCCGCTCCAGCGCGAGCGTGACACTGCACTTGGCGCCGAGCGCCCGCGGCTCAGACCTTGTGCAAGCCGACCCTCGGTGGGCACGCCGGTCCGGACCGATGGCGCTCGGTGTGGAGCAAGCAAGACCCCCCCCCCCCCCCCATCGGCGCGCGCTCGCCATTCCAACGGCCGCCAGGAGCACCAAGAGGACTCCTCATGGCTGTGCCCAAGTGGGCTTCGACCGGCCTCGGCTGGGGGGGCGGGTTGTCCCGGTTGCGGACGCCTTCTGCAGCCCCCTGGGCGCGACTCAGCACCCCAAAACTGCCCCTCGGCGGCATACAGCACTGCCAGCCAGCCTCTTCCTCCTCCTCAAGGGCTGTACTATAGGCCATATTGCGCCGCCTCCTACTGGCAGCCGGGCGGGCGCGCGCCGCGGGCGCCTCGGCGCGCGCACGGCTCGCAAAGTTCGAACGAGTACTGCCGCCCGGCCGCCTCAAGGCTGCCGGGCGGCAGTACTCGCCTCGCAAGGCGCGCACCGGCTGCTCTGGCTGCTGCGCCGGCGGCCGCTGCGCTGGCCGCTGCTGCGCCGGCTGGCGGGCGACACGGCCGCCGGCGGCCGCTGCGCCCGCGCCTTCCCTCGCGGGCGCCGTCGCGCCGCGCGCGCCCAATTCTGCTGGTACACGGCACGCGTCGTCACACAGCCGCGGAGAACAGGCGGTGCTGTGCGCGAAGCGCGCGCGATCTCGTACTTTTAAGGCTGGATCCGGCCATTCCAAGGGTATACCTTTGAGAATCCCCAGCGTCCCACCCTCCTAGTCACACTCTCAATATCTCGACTAGCCAACACGAAGTGCTGCGATCGGGGGTGGCCCATTTCTTTTTTCTTTTCTTTTTTTGGGTCCTGTGGGCACCCTATCGACGGCCTGTCCAGCATGCTCTCGGCACTCTGTACAGCGTCGACAAGGTGTCTGGGAAGGCCGACAGGGCTAGAGCGGCCGTCTCGGGCGAGATGGCGCGCTGAATGCTACCATGACTACAGTGGGTTAGACGCCTATAAAGGAAAAACAGCAAGGCTAAATTTCGGCGGCTAAAAAGCAAAGGACGGGCGCTTTTGATCGGCAAAGCAAAGTTGGAGTAACGGCGACCGCGTCGCCACAATGCCAGTCGCCTGTCGAGCAGCCTTGGCGGCGCGCATGCGCCGCAGGGTTGACCGACAGCCGCGCGCCTCGAGCCTCTCGCTCCACTCGCGGCACGACGCAACCCGCGCGCCGGTCAGCGCAACAGGAGTATTGCGACATGCTGCACAACGCAAAGGACAGCACTGAGAGGTAGGCGCCAGTCGCCCACCAGCATGTCTCAGCACCGGGTGAGGGAGCACATGCTGCGCACGCTGATGCAGCACGAGGTCACCACCAATCAGGCCCTATCGCCACCACACACGGCCGCCCTCGAGCACCAGCAGCCGCGCTGCGCAATGCTCAAGCTCAGGAGGCCACCCTGCTTCTCGCAGCTTTGTGCAGCGCAGCGAACGAGCAGCGCCGCACCCGGCGGACCCATGGCGTGCTCAGCCAGCCGTGAGGCGGAGGCAGGCCGAGTGAGCGCGAGCCGCGCAGGAGACCATGCCCCGCGCACCGGCGAGAGAGTGGCGCGAAAGAGTGCAAGTCGCGCTTGCTTTTGCGTGATGTGTTTAACCCTTTCAGGCACACATTTCGAGCGAGTGAAAACCAACTCCTGAGCACGGCGCCGCAGGCGCCTGTTGATAGGTCCAGGTGATAGCCCTGGATGGGCAATGCATTCGCCTACTTGGGCCTCAGATCGCCCGACCGCGTCCCGGTGCTCTGTGGTCGGATTTGTGACGCCGCCGCACCGCGCCGCGGCCGGGGGCCCGCCGGAGGACGAGGATGGCCGTGACGGACCGGGACGAGCTCTGGGAGGTTCAGTGTCAGTGAGTATATTGTAGAGGCCACCCATGTGCACAATATCTTGACTGAGAGCTAAGCCAGGGGAGGCGATGCCGGGGCCGTACAGCAGCTTGATGGTGCTTCGCCGGCGTAGAAGCGGCCGCGGCGGGCTCCGGGTGCCTGAAAAGACGGATTTACGTGGGCTGTGGGAGATTTACTGTCGACTCAAACGACACTGTGCCGTGATCCTCTCATATATGGCTAAATATTTACCGAGCCGTTTTAAAGTTCTAACGCTACGACTGGAGATATATCGAGATTGGGTCCTCAGGACCCTTATGAGAGAGTCTACTCGCAACTCGCTTAGTGTGGGTAAACCATAAAAGTAGGTTTGAATTCGTCCACGTAAGGCTGGTGAGTGGTTGGGGTGGCCTCAGGCATCCCCAAGGGAGCCTCTGCGGTGCGTGCGAGCCCCGCAGAGGTGCGGGCGAGAGGGCGGCCCGAGCCCGAAAGGGCCCGCCCTCGGCGGTGCTCTACATGGTAACGGATAAGAAGAGAAACACCCCCGGACTGGGACGCCGGCAGTCGAGTCGGGACACGCTGTGGTTCAGACGCGGTGCCACATAAGCAGCTTAGTGATTGTCGAGACTTAAAGTGTTTCGTTTGAAGAAACGCAAACCGGACAGACGGTACTATGGTCACCAGTAAACCATAATTCGACTTTGAGGGATCATATCTCAAAAATCCGGGAGATAGCATAGCCTTATTGTTGCATATTATGCCACATAAGGTCAAACTCGACCCCACAAGCATCAAGAACCCGATGCTCCGGCTCGACTGTGCCGGCACACTGCCTCCTCGCGCCAGCTGCTCGCAGGCCGTCGCGGCCCGTGGTGCACCAGAGAGAGAGGTCGACACGTTGCCCCCGCCGGCGAGTCCGCGCGGCTCAGGCCGGCCAGAAGGTGTGTGGTGGCGGCACCGTGGCAGGATTGCGGAGAAGAGCTCGCCGAACGCGAGCAGCAGATGGCCAAAGTGGGCCAGCGCGAGAGCCTCGCGAGCGGGCGCAGAAGGAGCTCGCCGTGACACGATGCCGGGCGGTGGTGGTGCTCTGGCGGCTGTGCACAGTGGGCAAGGTCAGGCTGCAGCAGGGCAGCACGATGGTAGTGCCCTGCTGCAGCCTGGCCTGACATGCACAGGGCGAACAGAGGCGGTACTATCGTCCGGCGCTCGTCGACGAATCTGGGCGAACTTCGACCGCCGCCACAGCTGGCCACGAGCACGCAGCGACAAAATGTTGACTGTACGGAAGTTGAGGCTGGTCGAGAGGAAAAGGCTGCCGTGACTTTTATGGGCTGCCGCGACTTTTATGGGCTTCTCTGTTCATAGTACCGTATACGGTACTATTTTACCCACACTAAGCGAGTACCCTTATGAAGCAAAAGTTTGCGAAAACTTCTTCTTTTTTGCCCTTGTCGTGCCAGTATAATAATAATAATAGAGCAGTCTTCATCTCCCGTAGAGATGGGCAACGCACGAACACAGAGGTACAGTGCGCACCCCGCCCCGCTCACAGGGCGTGCATCACACAGGTGGACTGTGTGACTCCTCGGGTTTCTGGGGACTCTTGACAGAGGTGTGCTAGTCGGACGGTTCCGACATGTCCGGCGGGCAGTTTGGGCTCAAGTGAGGGCCGGTCGCGGTCGCGGCAGCGCGCCGGGCCTGGCTAGGGCTGCCGGGAGTGATCTCGAGACGTGCCAGTGTGCTGTGAGAGAGGTCGCAGGAATTCTTCTTTTTTGCAAACAGCGAGGGCCAGGAGGGCCGCGCACATTGGTCGCCTCCTGCACATGGAGACCTTGCCTCCGCCGCGGCGTCGCACTCTGTGGGCCGCGGGGCTCCTCTGCGCTGCGGGCTTCGTCTGCGCCGTCGTCCGCATTGGGCCTAGCCGTGACGGCGGCGCGCACATCGAGACGTTTGTGGGCGGCCTCCTGCAGGACAGGGAGAAGGAGTGCCGCCGGTCCGACTGGTGGTTCCGCGGGCCGGTGGACGCGATGGCGCGGGCGGTGGTCGCGGACGTGCCCAACCACCCGCACATCTCGGCGATGCCCTTCAACCTCAAACTTGCCACGACGGTGTCGCCGTTCCTTCCGAAAGTGTACACCGACGTGACCGAGATCGTGTTGCTGGAGACGTCGGTGCGGGAGGTGGACCTGCACGAGTGCCGCACGCCGCTTGACTACCTCAAATTCATGCCGCGGCTGATGCCAGACTCGGGCACTATCGAGCTGAAGGGGCTCGAGGTGATAGGAGAGTGCCACCTCGACACGTCGGGCATGTTTTACATTGGCAAGCATCGGGGCAAGGCGCTCGCGCGCACCTTTGGGAACCTCAGCCTGACCATCGAGTTCGATGGCTTCAACCGCAGCCACGTGACGGACTGCCCCGGCCAGTTTGACACCTCCATCTGGTGGCCAGACGACGCAGCCGCCTTCAAGGGGAAGCATGTTTACGCCATTCCGCCGCCTTCGCCGCCGCCCGCGCAGCGGCGCAGTTGGTACAGCCGCTGGTTCGGAGGGGAGGAGGGCCCGAAGGCGAGGGGCCTCCCCTCCGAGCCCGAGCCGGAGCCCGACCCTCCCGGCTGGACCCTCGAGGAGAGCAGGGACGAGCTGATCGACCTCGGCATCCCGCTCGAAAAGGGGACGCTGCACCCCCCCCGAGAGCCGTGCTGCAGCCGCCCTAGGGCCGTCCGAGAGCCACCCTGAGGGCTCCCTTTCCCCACGGGGGGGGGGGGGGGGGGGTAGAACCCCGTAAAGGCAAACTTCCTTGCACGTGGACCAGGGCGGCAGCTCGCCACGTGGCAAAGACACAAGGAAAAAGGACGTACGGCGAGGCCGCACCTTGAGCACGCGTTCATAGCCCCGATACAATGGTCGTCGAGCTTGATGTGCAGTCCAACACGCCGGTGGCGGACGAGGTGCAAGCCACCACGCCCGTGACTGAGCCCACGGCGACCGGCACTCGCAGAAACGGCTTGCGTCGCCTGATCTCCTTTGCGCGGCCAGGGCAGCGCACACCTCGAGGCGCAGACAAAGAGACGGAGGGAGTGACTGTGCCAAAGCTGGACCCGAGTTGCAAAAATCTCCGTACCTCGCTTCGCGGCACGCACGCGCCGCGTGCAGGCTTTGTCCCTCGGCTCCGAGCTTCCTTTGTCCAGGCGCGGCGAAGCCTTCGAGTCTCGATGTGCGGTGGCCCGAGGAGGGGATCAGATGCGACGGAGCGCTGGTCCGTTGAATCGGAGGAGCAGTCTCCGGCCAAATGAGCCCGTGAGGATCGCAGCTGAGACTACGCACGAAACCACGTCGAGAAGGGGATAGCGAATCTCGATCTTCAGCCCGAGGCTACTAACGGAGACTGACGTACAGACCAGATGTGTGAGTGTCACGCTTTCACGGGGAGGGCCACCACGGCCACGCCACACGCACAGGCACATCCGGCCCACAGGGGCAGACGCAGAGGCTGGAGGCTACACCGTATTCCGATTGTCAATATCCTGAGAAATATCCATATTGTGAAAGCTCCAGGTGCTCCAAGAAATATTCCGGTGTGAGCGAACCTCTTCGCTGTTTCAACAACCGAGACATTCCAGCGCCTTGAGGGAGTCGCGGAGGAGGAGGGATGACGGAGGTAGTGTGAGGACAGGCCCCAACAGCCATTGGGACGAACGAGGGCCGCGACGGCGGCTCAAGCGCGGGGGAGCCGCTCCGCCGGGGGAGGCAGGCGCATCTCGCTTCTCGGCAGGCGGAGATCGTGTGATCAGTGTGCGAACAAGATCCCGCACGGGCGGGGTCCTGTTCCTTTTTAACCATCTCCTAGTAGTCTGTTTTTATTTATTTATTTACCGACATTCCACGACCGCCGGCCCGCGCGGACGGTGCACTCCGCTCGCGCGTTGTGTCGGCAGCGCCGGGGCGCCACCGTGTCCGTGAAACGCGTGTGACAAGCTGACAACTACGCACTGTTCCGCAACCGCGACGGCCACGGCGGCAGCGTGGGTGGCGGAAGGAGGGCACTGCTCGGGTCGTCGGGCGCGTGCAGCATCTCGACGGCGGCGCGGATGCGGCGCACAGACGCTTCGCGAAGCGCCGCCACCTCGAGCACCTCGTGCGGCTCCATCGACGCGACGAGGGCTTTGCGAGCGGCGAGCAGCCGGCGCAAGGCCTGCGGCGAGGGGGAGGGGGAGCATCGGCACACGCATCGGTGGCGTGTCCAAGGGCGGCGTGGGGGGCAAAGAGGCGGAGGGAGGGGAGCACGAGGGGAGCACGAGGGGAGTGACACGAGGGCAGAGAAGGAAAGCGCCTCCTCCACGCTCACGCGGCGAGCGTCGCCAGCGACAGCCTCCAGCTCCGAGGGCAGGTACGCGAGCGGGTCTCGCTCCTCCACACCCAAGCCCATGTGGCTCGACGCGACGGCGGCGGCGGCAGCGGCCTCGGCCGCCGCTGGCCCTCCGCCCACGGCCGAGCCCTCGACAGGGGCGGGCGGCAGCGGCGGCTGGCTCGGCGCCCTCACGAGGAGGTAGCACGGCTCGGTGGAGGCGCCGAGCATCTCCGCGGCGGCCGAGGTCCTCCGCAGCGCCAGGTACAGGCCGTCGTACCTGTACCCCGGCCCGCCCTCACCGCCGGCACCCTCGACCACGCGCACGACGCGAATCGGCCGGCGAGACGACTCATTCGGCTGCAGCGCGCGCAAGCACGCCTCGCCGGCCGCCACCGCAGCGGCGCCGTCGGAGGCGCCCGCGCACCAGCCGCGCAGCAGGAGCCGCTCGCCGTAATCATCGACCGCCCGCGGCTCGACGCCCGGCGGCGGAACGATGATCGATTCGACGCCGAGCACGCTGGGCGTCACGTCCGAGAGAAAGTGTCGGTGCACGCCCGCCGCGGCCAGTTCGGCGCGCCGCTGCAGCACGAGCCCGACCGGTACACCGTCCACTGCGCCAAAGGCTTGGCTCGGTGCGCCATGCAGCTTCAGAATGGCGTTGAGCGCGAGCAGGTCGGCGCGAGCGCCGCCGTTGCGGCCAATCGCCGCGCGCCCCTGAGCGAGCTTGGCAAGGACCGAGACTGGCTGCGGCTCGAGCTCCATTCGCAACACTGGGACTGGCACTGGCCAGGGGGGCCCTGGGGGCACTGCCCGCTGGGGTAATTTTTTTGAGAGCGCCTTCGTTGTTAATAGTACAAACCCAATGGTTAAGAATGTGTGCACCCGTACCACAGACAACAGACAGACAGGCAGCAGACAGACAGGCCCATAGCAGCGCCAGCAGCGCCCCGCTCGGCACACTCACTCCCTCATCCTCTCCTGCGCTTCCAGGTCGCGTCGCCAGAGGGCAAGCCCGCCGCCGCCGCCGCGCGCCGTCGCGATGTCCTCGTTCGCCTAGATGCACGCACGACCGGAGGTGGAGCGGGCGGAGAGGCGGCGGGGTAAGCGACGCTGGCAGCGCGGGCGCCGAGATCCAGTTGAAGAAGGCAGGCAGCTCCCTCTTTGCGCGGGCGACATTAGACTTCGAGCCCAAACCGGACGCCGCTCCGATCTGGGCGGCGCCGCCCTTTGGCAGCGGGATGCGCAGGCCGAGGAGCGAGATCTCGTCAAAGTCGAACGTGAGCTTGCGTGTCCCCTCGTTGAACTCAAACGGGCCGAAGAATCGGACCAGCGCGACGTCGCCGACGTAGATGCCGTTTGTGATGGCCATCGGCTCGGTGGTGGTGTCAAACGTCTGGACCGCCTTGAGCGGGAAATAGTTGATCTTCCCAATCTTCTTCTGCGTGTCCACGGTGCCCGTCGTGAAGCAAAGCCGCCAGGCGCCGTCGAGAGCGTCCAGCGTCGCACCGCCCAGCTTCGCGTCCGCCTTGGCCTCGGCCCGCATCGTCTTCTCTAGCCCGACCAGCGCCTCGATGACGGCGTGGCTCTCCTCGGCACGCGTCTCCGCCGCACGGACGAGGAGCGCCACCGCGGCGGCGGCCGCTGCAGGGGTGCTCGCAGCCGGCGCCATTTGCATGCGCACGTCCGCGCCGCCTGCGAGCGCACTGCTTGGCGGCTGTAGTGCGGCGTGCATACGGAAGGAGTCGGCGCCTTGAAGCAGCAGAAAGAGGATATTGAGCGGCGTCGGTCGGCTCATTGCTATTGCCCGGGAGGGGCAATATAGCCGGCCGAGAGGTGGCGAGCGAGCGCTTGTGTGAACATAGGACGTATTTTCTTCTCAATAACAAGGCTGTGAAGCTCGCACCTCAACCTCTCACAGACCAGCGCACAGCGCCATAGCCCATCGGACGTATTTTCTTCTCAATAACAAGGCTGTGAACAGAGTTCGTACACCGAGCAGCAGGGTGGAGCTCCGCAAGACCGAGGGCCCTCGGTCTTCACAGCGGAGTGGCTGGGGCTAACCAGACAGTGCACACATACAGCGGCAAAAAGAAATCAGCGGGGCGACAACAAACTAAAGTGATGGTTGGTGGTACTCTCCCCTGCAACCGCAGTCCTTCCTATGACATGGCAGGCCACTCTTAAGCCCTACTACAAGCATCAGATCACCCACTTTGGGAGGGTTGACATCGTGAACAGGATTCCGGGAAAAGAGAGGAAAGCGCAAACGACAAACAAAACAAAAATCTCTCTCAAACGACCGAGCGGGAGCTCCCCATCTACCCCATCATGAGGGCCGGCCAAGCAAAAAAATAATACACCGCTGCAAGGAGAATTTTGCAAGGAGAATCTGCCCGTGCGGGCACACCAAAAGAAGAAAAGACTTACTCAATGCAATAAAAATTGGAAATTGCGAGAGACTGGCCGCGCACTGGCACGGAAACGGGGACAGACGCCTTCAAAAAGATTTTTTGGCGGCTACTGTAGTTCGGTACACGAGGGAGACAGGTCCGCACACGCCCTTGAGTCCTCTCACGCCGACGCCGACGCCTCCGTTGCCGTTGGCACGTCTTCGCTCTTCTCTTCGAGGTCCCCTGCAGAGGCGCCCCGCTCAGCCGACTCGCGGGAGGCCACCGACCAGCAATCGTCTAACCGGGCCACCGTGAGCCGGCGGCTCGCAAACGAGTCGGAGACGCGATCCTCTTCGCCGAGGCTCGCGGAGGAGCGCTCGCCGCCGCCGCCGCACCCGCCGCTGCCGCCACCGCCGCCGCCGCCGGTGTCAGCAAGCTCACCTGACCCTGTCGGCTCCTCGGACAGCTCGCTCTCGGGCAACTCGGACATCCCCTTGAGCCCCGCGTTGATGTACATGTCGAGAGAGGAGCGCCGGCTGCGCCCAGATGGCATCTGTAGCTCGCTGTGTCGCGTGAAGGGCAGCCGCGCCACGATCGCCGTGATGTCGTCTCTGTAGTTTCCCTCGGACCGCTTCCACCGCTGGGCTGCCGCTTGCACGAGCTTGGCACAGCCCTTGGTTGCGGACTCGGGCTCAGACGCCACAATCTCGCACGCCTCCTGGCTCGAGAGGAACTCCCAGACGCCATCGCTCGCAACGATGAGGAAGCGGTCGCCGTCACCGTCCGGGCTGCTAGCCGGCTCGATCTCAAAGCGCGCGATCAGCGGGTCGGCGATGACGCCGTACTTCTTGCACTCGCCGTCACCGATCGAGCGAGACATGGCAAGCCCAACCTTCCCATCCGCCCACACGCGAGAGGGGCGGCCGCCTGGCACGCCCGCCGTCACCAGGCCTCCAGCCTTGCGTATCCTCTCGGACTCCTCGGGCATGTCTGGCTTGCAGTCGACGGTGAGGTCGCGCGCGCAGATCGCGCCGTTGGCTCCGTACCCCATCACCGCCCGGGAGTCCCCCACACACGCCGACCAGAGCGTCGTCCCGTTCAAGTAGACGATCGTGGCCGTCGTCCCGCAGGTGGTAGCAAAGCGGCCTCCGCGCCGCTTGAGGATCTCGGTGTCCATCTGCAGCACGGCACGCACGATGGTCGCCGCCGGGTCGGCTCGCAGCCGCAGCCCCTCCTGGAGGAGGCCGTACGGCAGGGAGCGCATGCACTGCTCCGCAACCTTCTCCCCACCTACGCCGTGTCCATCAAAGACGCAGAAGAGAGCTTCGTTCGAAGACGAGTTGAAGGGCCAGTGCGCGACGCCGCGGTCCTGGTTGACCTTGGCAAAGGTTGTGCCACGAGGGCCTGGGCTGACGCCGTGCCGGGTCGCGTTGCCGAGCACATCTGCTAGCTTGCCCTTGCTCACACCGGCCACTGATGATGCGCACGAGGAGGGTGGCGAAGCGAGCTCCTCTGGGGCATGCGCGATCGAATGCCGATGCGTCTCGCCCGGCAAGCTAGAGCTGCTGCTGCTGCTGCTGCGGACGGACAGCTCCTGCAGCTCCTGGCGACGCTGGATCCTCCACCTGAAGACGTCCATCTTCGGCGAGCTTTTATCCTCCGTGCTCCGTGCACGGTAAACGCGGTAAACGCCCTGAGAGACTATGGAGAGTTCACGTCATGACGGTTAGCCGCTGTCATGACGGTTAGCCGCTGTCATGACAGCTGCCAGCTGTCATACAGCAAACGACAGCGACAGTGACACCTACCTGTCACCAGCTGTCACCAGCTGTCACCAGCTGTCACCAGCTGTCACCAGCTGTCGTTGCTGCTGTCGTTGCTGCTGTCGTTGCTGCTGTCGTAACCATCCCCGACGGTCCAACTGTCACTGCTGCTGTAATTGCGCAGCTGTCATTCCTGCTGTCATTGCTGCTGTCATCGCTGTCGTTGCTGCTGCTGTGCTGTCATTGCTGCTGTCATTGCTGCTGTCATTGCTGCTGTCATTGCTGCTGTCATTGCTGCTGTCATGAGCACCCCTGCAGGACAGTGTGTGGTGCCACTAGCGAGAGAGACAGGACACTCAAGATATAGATGCATGCGCGCGAGACCGCTCACTCGCACGCCCGACGCCACATGAGAAGCCCTCTCAACAGTAGCCACGCAACGCACGGTCAGCAGCAGCGGGCGTGAGTCGGAGAATCTGCAAAACCCTTGCCCTCCTTCCTCCAGCATGTGCCGTGATGGGCTCCAGCGCTGGTTCATCTGCCGCTCAAAAATCTCACGCGAGCGAACGGTGTCAATCCTCAGCCGCGAGGATTGGGACCTTGAAATCCACGATCACAAGCAAACGCGCAGAGCATTGAGCAACACACCTCGGGTTGAACCTCTCAAGGTGCATGCTGTCACCGGCAGTCTGCATGTGGATCGTAGACGATGACTATGGCTGGAATAAGCTCAAGTTCGTCACGAGAAGAGCTCCAATGCCAGCCAGCTGGCTATCCCACACGCTCGGCCGTCGGCGGATCAGCCCACTTTCTTCGTGTCAAAAGAGCGGCGACATGAAAGCTCCGAGCACACGCATGGTGCGCATGAGGCAAGCAGGTCAGGGCCTCTCGCCGGCTCCAATTGGCACCAAGTGGCACCAAGTTCCAAGTTCCAGCACACCAAGTGGGGCCGACGCAGGCGGAAAGATCACAAGCGCCCGTCGAGCTCGCTCGACTCTCTACATCCACGCGCACCGGTGTCTTATTTTAGTCCATGGGGTGTACTGCACAGATGGGTGGGTGGGCGGTTGGGCCCGTTCACGAGGGCTATGGCTGCCTCACGGCTGTGCCTGTGGCGCTGCCTCGCTGTCGCTGTCGCTGTCGCTGTCGCTGTCGCTGTCGCTGTCGCTGTCGCTGTCACTCGCGGGGCCCCGCGCTGACATTGTCACCGCCTGTCGTTGGCATTCACTGGCTTCACTGTCACTGTCACTATGGCTGTCACTGTTCCTGGTGCCTTTCACTCCTCCTTGGCAGCTGGCTGTCACCAGCTGTCACCAGCTGTCACCAGCTGTCACCAGCTGTCACCAGCTGTCGTTGCTGCCGTCGTTGCTGCTGTCGTTTCGCAGCCGCCGTCATGACATATTGACCACGTCATGACGGTTAACAGCCGTTTTAACCGTCATGACGTGAACTCTCCATAGTCTCTGACGCAAGTTCTATAGCGTACTCAGAAAGGGTGGCAGCATTCTTGTTTTCTTCCGTGGTGTACCTGTGTTAGTGCCCGTGCGCGCCAGTCCCAGAAAGAAAGAAAACAGAGACCAAGGGAGGGATGGGAGGACGGCACGCCGCCACAACACAGGGATTTTAAGGAAAGAAGTTTCCTAGCCGTCGCCCGAGCACTCGGGCACAAAATTCTTATTCCGTGTTACTGGCACCAGTGCGCGCCAGTCTGCCGACAGAGCGTCCCGCGCCAGTCGATTTCTCCCCAGTCGATTCATGGCGCACGCCGCAGCTGCGCTCGCAGATGAGCTCCGCCTCCATGCGCTGGTGCGGGCGCTCGTCGAGGGCACCACCGGCCTCACGCCGTCCTCGGGTGAGAACCATGAGGCTGCTGTCGATTGGGTCCACGGCTCCTTCCGCCACCACCGCTTCGGCTCAACGGACGGGCATGCGGTGTCCCGCGACTACGCGCAGCTCGTCGCGCTCCTCCGTCGCCACTCGCGCCACGACAAGGCCAGCGACCTCGACGCGCTTGCGTCGAAGCTGCTGCGCGTGCCGACCGGGCAGCCGGCAGCGGATGCAGACGCCCGGGCGCTCTCTGCATTGTACTGGCTCGCCGATGCTGCGGCCATGACAGCGAGCGGTCCGGCGCGCTGGCCCAGCGGTCCGCCATCGCTCGCGCCGGTCCCGGCTGCGCCGGCCGAGCAGCTCTCGCGGCCCTCGTCGCCTCGCTGGGGCTACTCGTCCGGCTCTGAGGAGGAGTTGGACGAGCTCTCGCCTGCGCACGGCGGCAGCAGCGGCGGCGAAGGCAGCGGCGGCGGTGGTGGCGAAGGTGGCAGCGGCGAAGGCGGCGAAGGCGGCGAAGGCGCGGGCCGCAGTGAGGATGGCGGCGGCAGCGGCGAGGGCGGCGGCGCGGCGAGGGCTCAGGAGGCGGCGGCGCCGACTGCGAGGGGGCTGAGCGCGCTGGCGTGGGAGAGCTTTGCCCAGGCGGGTGCGTCGCGTGTCCCACCGGCGGGGAGGAGCTCTCTCGACTCGAGGCGGGTCGGGGCCGCGCCTCGCGGTGGTGCGGTGGCGCGGCGAGAGGCGAGATGGCTCGGCTCTAGGCGGTCGCGTCTAGCCAACGCCTCGATCATGGCCGTGGCGGGCTACGCGGCGGGCGACTGGGAGGAGGTTGCAGCGGACGAGGCCAGCCCCTCTTCCCCGGGCCGCGAGGGAGCGTGCGACGCTTCCTGGCGGCGGCGGGTCCGTCTGAGCGCCGCGGGCAGGAGCTCTGCCTCGAGGTGCGAGGCGAGCGGGGCGGCGGCGCTGTTCGCGGAGCTCGGCCGCGCCGCCTCGGCCGTGTGCACGCTCGAGGCGCCGTCCCGCCTTCCCTCGCCTTACCCTTCCCACCCTCCCGCCGGCTCCCTCTGCCACCTCCCTCTCTGCCACCTCCCTCTCTGCCACCTCCCTCTCTGCCACCTCCCTCTCTGCCACCTCCCTCTCTGCCACCTCCCTCTCTGCCACCTCCCTCTCTGCCAACTGCCTCTCTGCCACCTCCCTCTCTGCCACCTCCCTCTCTGCCAACTGCCCCCGCCGACGACTCCTCGGCAGGCGCTCTCGGACGGCCTGCTCTCGCGGCCCAACTTGCCGACGACGCTTCGCGCGCTCGGCCAGGCCCTGCACGGCGAGGTGCACGAGTGGCGGCGCGAGTGGCGGCGCGAGGCGGCGGGGCGCGGCGCGGCCGGTGGCGCCGGTCGTGGGGAGCGGAGACGGGAGGGCGAGCGGACAGGGCTGCTCGTGCTGGCGGAGCGGCACCGCGGCGTGGCTGGCTGGCGCCGCCGGCTGGCGGAGCTGGCCGCTTTCGCCGCCGAGTTTGCGGCGGTGCCGGCGGTGAGCTGCGTGCTCGGCGTGCGGGCGCGCGGGCCGCACTGCGCCGCAGAGGCGACGAGCGCGCTGTTGTCGCTGCTGCTCGCGCGGTGCGAGTGGCATGAGGCGTGTGGAGGGGAGGGTGGAGGCGGGGAGGGTGGAGGCGGGGAGGGGAGGGGCCTCTACTTCGTGTGGCTGCGCATCCTCGTGCGGTGCCTGCTGGCGTACGCTCGCGTGCTCGGCGGGTGGGTGGAGCGAGGCCGAGCTGCGGCGGGCGGCGGGCGGCTCAAGAGCGAGCAGCATGTCTTTCACAGCTGTGGCTGTGAACCAGGCGAGCTGCGCGACGCGGCGGGCGAGCTCTTCGTGTACCGCGCGGCGGCGCATGCTGACCCCGCCCTCGGCGCGGGCGGCGGCGACAGCGCGGCGGGCTGGGAGGGTGCATTCGCCCTTCGCCCCGCGGGGTGCGTGCCTCTCTTCCTCGCGCCGCTCGCGCCGTCCATCCTGGTGTGCGGCAAGTCGAGGCGGCTGGTGGGCTCGCTCGCGGGAGGGGCGGCCGCCGGGGCGAGGGGCCGCGAGGAGGGTGCGGGGGAGGGGACCGAGGAGGGGACCGAGAAGGGGACCGAGGAGGGCGAGGAGGAGCTGGAGATGCGTGTGAGTGAGCGGCTCCTCGCGCTTCTCGCGTCGCGCCGCGCTGCCGCCGCGTCGCGTCGTGGTGGGGCTGCCGCTGCGGGTGAGGAGCGGCGCAGGGACGGGGTGCAGGCGGAGGGGGAGCCGGCGCCCGTCCCAGGGCTAGCCGGCGACAGCGCAGCGGCCGGGCGGCACTGGCTGGAGCAGATGCCTCACTGGGGCTCCATGCCGCGCAAGGACGACGTGCCGATGGCGTTTGCCCGACCTGCTGAGCATGGGTACCCCGTGGCTTGCAGACCCGCTCGCCCTTCGCCGCGCCCTCACAGCTGGCCCCCGGGCTGGTAGGCACGCTTCCCCGAGCGACGAGCTCTGCCGCTTGCCGGCCTCGCGCCCGCCCCCCGCCACCGACCCGCCCTCGCTCCTCCTCGCGCGGCTGACAAGCCTCGCGACTCCTCCGGCCGACGAGGCTGCCAGAGCCGCCATATTTGCAGAGGCTGCAGAAATTGCAGAGGCTGCAGAGGCTGCAGAAATTGCAGAGGCTGCAGAGGCTGCAGAGGCTGCAGAGGCTGCAGAGGCTGGCGGAGCGCCGCGTAGCAGGGTGCGCTCGATGGCGGTTCGCGAAGCTTTCCTCGCCCCCATCGCGCACTCCTGCGCCCGCGCCGGGCCGCAGCTGCTCCGCTTGCTGCCCGGTTTGCGCGGGGTGGCGCGGCTGCTGCACGCCGTCGCTCTCGCCGCCGAGCCGCGCCTGACTGCGCCTGTGTGCGAGCGGCTCTGCGAGCTCGCCGACCGCTGCCGGCCGTGGCGGCCCGCCCTCCCGCAGCTCACGCGGCTGCTGCGGGAGAGCCTCATCGAGGGCGGCGTCCCGGCGGGCCAGGCGCGTGTCCGCCTTGTGTTGCGTAGAGGCTTGGCTGGGGGTGGGATGACTGAGGGGCAGACGGCCTCGCTTGGTAGTTTCTTAGACACTTCTTAGACACTTCTTAGACACTTCTTAGACGCGGCTTAGACACCTCCCCTGCTTGCAGGCGGGCCGCTTCTCGTTTGAGCTGGCTGACGTCTCGGCCCAGGTCAGGGAGGGGCTGGGCGAGGGGCGGGGCGGGCGAGGGGAGGGGCTGGGCGAGGGGCGGGGCGGGCGAGGGGAGGGGCTGGGCGAGGGGAGGGGCTGGGCGAGGGGAGGGGCGGCCCCCCGGCGGGTGCCGCGCCGCCAGGGCCTGACCCCTCGCCCAGCCCTCGCTGCAGGAGCCGCGCAACGGGCCGCGCAAGGGGTCGTCGTTCTCGGACGCCGTCGACGCGCGCGCCTTTGAGTCGCTCGTGCTGCGGTATGCGCCGCCGTGGCCGTTGCAGCTCGTCTTCACGCCCGCGCTGCTCTCGCAGCAGCAGCGCGTCTTCGCGCTGCTGCTGCGCTTGCGGCGCGCGAAGTGGTCCCTCGAGACGGTCAGCGTCGGCGCCGGCGCCGCAGGAGGCCGCTGCGCAGGCTCGACTCCGCTCACGCGGCTCTGGTGGACGCTTCGCTCCGAGCTGCTCCACGCCGTCCACCACATCCTCGCGTACGTCACGCTCGCTGTGATTGCGGCCGAGTGGCGATCCCTCCTCGACGGGCTCCCCGCCCTCTCGAGCGTGGACGCCTTCGCCGCCGCGTGCGCCCGCCTCTACGAGCGCATCGCCTCGCGCTGCTTCCTGGAGCCGCAGCACGAGGCGGAGATGCGAGCCGTCGACGCCATCCTCGCGCTCGCGCTCCGGCTGCGCGCCCAGCTGAGTGACGACCTCGCCGCGCTACCCGCGGTTGCGCACGCGGCGGCGGCGAGGCGATGGCGCGCTGAGCTCCGCCGCAGCGTCCAGCTGCTGATGCGCACGCTTCGGCAGCAGCCGGAGGGGCGCCCCCTCTCCGAGGCGCTCGACTTCAACTCGCACTATGGCGGGAGCGAGGAGGAGGCTTGACGCATGACGCGATGACGGCGCAGCGACTGTGATGTGTTTAGCCGTATGTTTTTACTGTATGTGATCCGACTTTAAGAGAGCGCAGAGCCGCGCTGGGAGAGCCCACAGCCACACACGCGCTCTCTTACTTTTTGAGTCTTGACTCTTGTCACAGTTGTGTCTCTCTCTCTACACCCGTATACAGAGCGTGGTCCGTGGTATACTGTTAGCCACTCTCTCAATAGCACAGGACCAATCGCGGTCTCTACACACCAGCGCCCTGACTGCGGGCAGATACAGATAGACACAGGCACACAGTTTACAGATACACGGGACATCGTCCTGGTTTTCGTTTTGAGCGCGCCGATTGAGAGACTGAGAAAGTGTTGATTCGAAGATTCGTCCATGGTGAATGGGCCGAACCGCGGCCTGGCTGGCCGCGACTCACGCCTGCGACGCTGCCGTCCAGGACGCGGCGCGCCGCAGTGCCCGCGGAGGCGAGTTCTCCTCGAGCGAGAGCCGCCCAATCTCGAGGTGCGCACTGAGCGAGTCGCGCCGCCGTCGCCGCTCGAGCCGGTCCGCCGCCTCGGCCAGCCGCGAGGAGAGCGCCGCGGGCGTGCGGACGATGCCGTGCGCCCTCAGCTCCGCCGGGCTCGGCCGCCGCTCGAGGCTGTGCGTGAGCTGGTCGCGCCGCATAGCGTGCTCCAGCTGCTCGGCGGCCTGCGCGAGGGAGGGGCTCATCGCCGAGGCGTACGAGTGCTTGAGCACGCCGCGCTGGAGGAGCTCGGACGGGTCGGGCCGGCTCGTCAGCCGCGAGACCACCGCCGCACGCGTCATCTCCCGCTGCAGGGCCTGCTGCGCTGCCGCGAGCCGCGCCGAGGTGTGCGCCCCAACCGGAAGGATTCCCAGCGCCTGAAGCTCGCCGAGCGAAGGGCGGGCGCCCAGGGTGTGGTCGACCGTGTCGCGCGCCGCGTCGATCCGCACAGTCGGCGGAAGCAGTGCGCGCAGCTCTTTGCAGGTCGAGGTTAGGGCGAGGAGCGCCTGGGGCCTGCGTGGTTGCGAGGCGAGCGTGCGGACGAGGACCGTCAGCACATCCTCAGGCAGGTCGTCCACCAGAGCCTCTCTGTCTGACCGGTGCGCATCTCTGTTCGGGGACGCTGCGCTTGACATGCCGCGCGCTTTCCTCCCATCAGTCCAAAGTGTCCAGAAGGCGGGCGAGGTGGCGGGCGTTGGAGATTTAACGAGCGCCGGCGTGAATTGAATTGTGGCGCTCGGTTTCGCATTTTTTTACCGAGGCGGTGCCCGGTGCCGAGCGCAGGCGGTGCCCACAGGTCGGACCTTAAGACCGCAGTGTAGATTCCTGGGCGAGGGTGATGGATGGAGCCTCTTTCCCGTGACGCGTGAGCCTTGAGAATGGTGTTGTTTGTCGTCTTGTGTGCCTCTCGGCCCTCGGTGGTACAGCGCGTCGTAGTGCCTAGTAAGAAGGAAGGTGCTCGGGTGCTCGATGCAGCGAAGCCGCGCGCGATGGCTCGCGCGCGCGCGCGCCGCGGCGAGGCGCGAGATATGCAGATATCCAGCCAGGATCCAGCTCCGCTCCCGCGGCGTGTGGATGGTGCGTGGAGCGTGGCGCTGCTGATTGGAAACCAGAACTCCTGTCCCACCGTAACAGGTGTAAGGCTACAGCGAGCGAAACACGAGACCCTCACCGCTCACGCCGCTCTCCGGTCCTCCCAGACGGGCTCGCCGCGGTGGCTCGACCAGCGCACGCGATCCATCTTGTACGGCACGTCGCGCGTGTTTCCGTACAGGTACGTGCCGTCGGTGCCGCACCCGCGGTCGTTGACCCAGAGCGCCCCCTCCCAGAGGTGCAGGTGGTCGGTCACGACAATCTCGCGGCCGAGGAGCGGCGAGTGGACCAGCGCCGAGGCGGTCGCCATCTCGCCCTCGAAGTGGCCGCCCACGCGCCGCCAGAACACGTCGCAGCCGGGGATGAGCAGCTCCTCTGCCAGGTCTCGCTCCGCGTCCCAGGCGACGGCGGCCGCGTCACCGCTCGCCGCGCGCAGCTTCGCCTCGACCTGCTCGGCGAGCCGGAAGATCTGCATCCGGATCTCGCCGTCGGCGGCCGAGCGGCGGGCCTCCGTCGGCTGCAGCGTGTACAGCCGCTGCCGGAAGGGCCTCGCCGGGTCGCCGTTGAAGTAGTAGTTGGCGAGCACGGCCGGGCGCTCGAGCGCGAGCGGCTGCAGGTGGCAGTGGATGTGCTCGTGGCCGCCTCCCTCACGCGGCGGCCGACCGGCGCGCCGGTCCTCCAGCGCCTGCTCGAGGTTGTCAAAGTGGCCGCAGAACTGCGACAGGAACTCGTCAAAGGCCAGCCGGCGGGACTGGTCGAGCTCGGGCGCGGCGAGAGCACTGCAGCGCGGCGGCGCGGCGGCGCGGCGCAGGGCAGCCCGGGCCTGGCAGCGTGCGAAGCCTCCGAGCTCGACCGCGGGCTGCAGCGCAGCGCTCGTGAAGGCGACGGCGGTGGCGAAGATCAGGAAGGCCGCTTGCGCGCAACTCATTGCATTCGGGGTATTTTGTCCTTGTGCGCCAGAAAGAATTTAAAGAAAACAACTCTGGCCAGAAAGAAAGAAAGAAAAAATCGCGGCACACACCTTGTGCGCCAGTCGCGGGTTGGGGCGCGACATTAAATTCTTTTAGTTAAGAGCGTTGGATCAGAGAGTTTGCTCTCTCTCTAGTGATTCCAGGCGCGTAACGAGTACTAGCTCCACGAGGCGCCCCGCAACTTCCCGAGAAGTCGTACAGTCTGTTGCGGGCATTAAGAAAACGTACCATTAAGAAACCACGCCGAGCGATTTCCGCGAAAATCTAAGAAACCGCGGCGCCCCGCAGGCGCGGCCCCGAGAAAGGGCCCACACACGAGTGTGAACAGGAGCCCCGCTCAAAATTTCTCTTCGCCTGCGGCGCGCGCACTTGTCATTTTCAGTGTATGTAGCTCTTACGTACATTCCCGTAGGAGACTCTGCTGACAGGGTTTGCGATGAGGAGCGACCCGAAGGGTTTCTCGGAGGTTAGTGCACCACTAACCGCTGAAGCGCAAGCGCTGGGAGCAAGAACACTACGACCTGGGTCGGGCTCATACTAGCGCACCCCACCTCGCGAGCCGACGTTCCGGCTCAGCGAGGCTGCTGCGGAGCACTCGCACTTGGAGCACTTGGAGTGCAGTCGGTAACCTCACATCCAGGGCCGGTGAGCTGAGAAGCGCATCCAGCGGGCCGGATGATCGGTATCGGGCTACGGGCTAGAGAGCCCTGACCCCTATCTAGGGGGGGGGGGCGCGCATTCGCAGGGCAAGGGCCTTAAAGTAAACACGGGTCTCCGAGGGTTGGTTCTGCGCTTTGGGTGTCCCCTAGCGGCGGAACGCCCCCTCTACTCGGAGCTAGTAAACACCAGACACTAGACACGAGCATGACGTACACTCTCACCCGACATCGCCACTCGCGGACCGGTTCTTCTGGTCCAGCGAGGCCGCTGCGGGCACCCGGCGGCTCGGGTCACATTTTGCCCAAGGCCAAGCAAGTCTGCGGTGTTCTGGGCGGTGTGGATGGGAGGTGTGTGCGTCTTCCTGTCATCCCAAGTGGGTGGCAGAAGTCGGACTGGCGACATCCGGAGCGGTCCAGCGCTTCCGTATTGTCATTTTACCTAAACATTCCTAGATCCCCTCTCACTCACCTGTGGGGTGCCGGCCGAGGCTAAGAAACCACGGCGTGGGGTGGGTGGGGTGTGTGGAAAGGCTTAGAAACGGCGGCGTGCCGCGGGATCCTGTTTTCTTAATGCCCGCAACAGACTGTAGCCTCCTCGCTCGGAGCTAACATAGAAGTTCACTTCGCGCGAATGCACACATTCGACAAAAACGAGTGTTAGAGTTGTTTGGTATTGCTAATAAGTTTTTTCAAGGTTTGCCCGGCCGGGTTGCTGCGTTAATCTCGCGCTGCGCTAGGCTCAGAGCGAGCTCGCGCTGCGCTAGGCTCAGACGGCGTGCGCGGGCCGCCGGGGTGAGGACCCCACCTCCTTTGGCCTTAATACGCTTTTCTCGCCGAGTACTATCTATAACTACTTTTCTTTTTGCGTGCAACTCATTCGGGGGTTATTTTTCCTTGTGCGCCCGGTAGTTTATCTTTGCTCGGCCATACGTCATGACGGGGTAGTTAGGGTAGGTCTGGGCCCTCCCGTCGTTTTTCCCTCTCTTCACGCCGATTTCACATTCCCCCCGTGGCTTGCGCCGAATGCTGGCTGCTTGTGCTGCTGCTGGCCATTCGCGCACATCGCCTGATTTCTTTTTGTGGCCGGTGTGTGTGCCCAGTCCGCCTACTGTGAGCGCTGTCAGAGCGGTGTTTCGACACCGATATCGTTCAAGGAGAACGCTGATTCAAAATCCGCTGTTCACACTTCACAGGTAAGTGTAAGCGGAGCAGCTGAGTAGATACAGCGAATCCTTTGTGTTCACACCTGCAAAAACAGGTGTGAACCGATTTCGGCCTTAGCCGTCGGTATGCCAATAGCGTGCTAGCCAAGTAGTACGCAGTTGGATTCCGAGGGTGTCCCATCACAAGTTCGGCTGCCGACAGACAAGATTGTCCCTTAGTCGACAGCACCCGCCTTTGGACGGTGCTCTGACTGGCTTTGAGAATATATTTTTTCTTTTTGGTTCACATGGTTAGAGGTTGGCCTCCCACCGTTGTGAACATAGTCTGGCCCGAAAGAGCCGCTCGTCTCTTGTCCGGGCAAACGCGCGCCCTGTGTGCGCCGTTTCGCGGAGCGCGAGGTCGGCGTTTTGGTTTATAAGAAGCTGAGGCTGTCGGGTGCCACCGATGCGGATCGAGCCATTGGCCGCCTCCTCCCACCTCCACACCACATCCTCCGGCCTGCCCGTCGTCTACGACGCTGAGGCGCTCGAGACGTACTTCTCCACGCCCGACGGCGCAGAGGCGCTCACCGGCCGGCTCGGGAAGCTGGCACGAGTCACGTCGGGCCTCGGCGTCCGCGTCGGAACCACCTTCCTCGCGCTGCTCGCTGGGCTGGCGCCGCCGTCCGTCGGTCCGACGGCGCTGGAGGACGCGCTCGCGGCGTCGCCGGTGCGCGAGGCCTTCGAGGAGCTCGGCCCGACGTTTGTCAAGTTCGGCCAGGCACTCGGCTCCCGTCCCGACCTGGCTGGTGAGCGGCTCGCACTGCAGCTGCGCGCGCTGCAGGCCGAGATGGCTCCGTTTGCCACCGCCGACGCGAGGGCCGTGATCCAAGCCGAGTTCGGAGAGGTTGCGGCCGCGCCGCTGCTGCGCGCGCTGCCCGCCACGCCGGCCGCCGCCGCCTCCATCGGCCAGGTGTACAAGGTGCAGCTGCCGCGGGGCCGCCGCTCCCTGCGGCGCGGGCTGCGGCGGCCGCCGCCGCAGACGCTCGCCGTCAAGGTGCTCCGGCCGGACGCGCGCGCGGCAGTCGCCGCCGACGCCGTGCTCGCCCGGCGGGCTGCGGGCGCGCTCGAGTCGCTGCGCGTGCCTGGCGGGCGGCGGCTGGTGCGTCCGGCGCTGGTGGCTGCGGTCGACGAGTTCTTTTGTCGACTATTCGAGGAGATGGACTACGAGCGCGAGGCGGAAAACATCGCCGAGTTCAACGCGGTCTACGGGCGCCGGACCGAGGCGCGGCGGCAGCTGGGCCGCGGCGGCGAGATCGTGCTGCCCGTCGCGTACTCGCCGTGGTGCGGCGAGCGGGTGAGTCGCCGCGGCCTCGGGTGAATTGAGTGGGCAGCAGCCTTCCATGAACCTTCTCGGAGCCTGCCGACAGGTGATCGCCATGTCTTGGGTGGACGGGTCTCCGCTGGTGCCTCCGGACAGGAGGGCGGGCGGCGGTGCAGACGACCTGCCCGCCGCCCTCGCCGCGCGGCTCGCCGGCCGCGTTGCTCTCTCTCCGGCCCGGGCGGAGGAGGTGCGCCTGGTGCGGTGGGGCGTGGCCTGCACTCTCTCGCAGCTGCTCGTCACCGGCGTGATGCACGCAGACACGCATGGCGGCAACTTGCTCAAGGCGAGCCCTTCAAGCCGGCGGATCTGATCGGACTCTACCACCCTGACTCAACCTCGCTTAGCCTGCTCCAGGTGGCGCCGCCGCCGTCGCCGCTCGACGCGCTGCCGTGGGTGCGGCCACGGCCGGCTCTCGGCTACATCGACTTCGGCCTCGTCTCGCACGTGCCTGTGCAGGTGCGCGAGGGCCTCGTCTGCGCGGTCGCGCAGCTGCTCTTCGCACGCGACACGGCGAAGGTCGCTTCCCTCTTCGGCGAGCTGATGCTGCTGCCGCCCGCCAAGCTCGACGAGCCGGCCACGCGCGCCGCCCTCGAGGCCGCCCTCGCCCGCGCCGCGAGCAAGTTGCTCGACTACCCGCCCGGCGCAGCGCTGCCCGAGATCCGCTTCGATGCCCTGGTGGGCGAGGTTGCCGCGATCGCGCCTGCCTTCGAGTTCGAGCTGCCGCCATACTTCCTCAACAACGCGCGCGCGCTGGCGAGCCTGGAGGGCCTCGCGCGCGCGGCGGACCCGACCTTCTCCATCGTCGAGTCCATCTACCCTTTCGCCCTCACCACTATCCTCGCCGGAGACGCATCGCCGCTCATGCGCCGCACGCTCGACGACTTGGCGACCGACCCCGCGACGGGCCGCGTCTCCGTCCGAAAGCTACGCAGCCTCGTCGACCAGCTCGCGGCGCTCTCGCGCAAGCCACGCCTCGCCGTCACGCTCGACGTGGTGCGCACGCGCGGCGGCCGCCGGGTCATCCGCCGGCTAGCGAGGCAGGCGCTGCGGGGCCGCGGCAGCGCGAAAACATAGTGTCACACTGAGTGTGCGGCCCGGTATTTGCGGGCGAGCCTGGCCAGGTTTGTATCAGGTTTACCGTATAACGAAAAAACGACGGGGACGACACGAGCCGGAATTATGGAGATAACAACCTAGCTAAAGAAACCCGGACGTCATATCCGCTTTTTTGAGCCCGGTTCCACACCCGTCGACACACGGGTACAGTTTAGGTGATCGGCAGCCTCAGAGGAGTGGAAACTGATCCCCGGCGGGCCCTTCGCGACCGACGCGCGCGGCAGACGGCTTCGGATAGACATCGGCTCGGCTCCTAGCGGCTCGCAGAAGCAGCGCGGTCGCTCTCTCTCCGTCACGCCGTTGCGCGGTTGACGCTTTTTCGGCGCTCGCGGCGGGGCGGCAAAGCTGACTTTGAGGCCAATCAAGCCGGCCAAGGCCCCCACGGCGACGGCGCAGACACCACTCATGGCGCCGGTGGCCTCGGAGGCGGCGGAGATGGCGAGGTGTGCGCACATTTTGACGGGTGCGCCAGGCAGTGCTGGCGAGGCGCCCGCCGTTGACTGAACACCTTCTCGCGCGGCACGAGCGGCGCGCGGCGCTGCTGACGGGAGGAGGCAGTCACGGCCCGGACGGGTGCTGGCCGGTGGTCATCAGACCCGCGTCGTCACCGTATTCGGCGCGCAGTTCGGGACTGAACACCTCTCGAGGCGCGGCGCTGCAGCTGCAAAGTGATTGGTGTGCATCCGGCAGAGCCGGCGCGCTACGGGTTGCGCCCGTTGTCCAGACGCGCCGTGCCGCGCTCGCGCGCTCGCCGGATCAGCGCGTGCGGCAGGAACGATGCCGGTGTGCCAGTGTGCCGGTGTCGCATGCGGTGTGCCAGCGCGCCGGGTCCAGCGGACAGCAAGTTGTGTGTGGAGCGGGCGCGCGGTGGCCGTGGCGAATGTGAGCCGGCGCCACTCGCAGCCTGGTGTCGAGGCGCACTGCCTACTGCCCGTCGACTCAGCCGTGCGGCGGGGTATCCGTTTCTGTGTGTCGGTGGTGGTGCGCTTGGCGCGCATAGTGTGCGTGGGGTCTGTGTGCGTGTGCCACTCGCTCGCTGCTGCTGGATGCAACGGTTTCCCGTCGTAGTGTGTTGGGCGGCCCGTCGTAGTGTGTTTGGGTTGCTGAAAAGGAAAAGGCGAAATCAAAAGAGCGCTGCGTGACTCTGACTGTGAAAGCGTGGGTCCTCCGACGAGATCCGAAAGTTGATCGCTGCCCGATTAGGGTGTGTGTGCGAGGCTTGTCGTCGGCGTGACAGCGACACGATCATGCTTCATCCCGGGCCGCCGATGGCCGATAAGGTTGCCCTAGGGTGGGAGGGCCCTGCGCGCGTCGTCACGCGGTGCTCAAACGCCTCGCGGCGGTGCTGGCACGCAGCCCGCTGCCACGGTGCAATATGCACAAGCCGGCTCGCGCGGCCGCGATGCTGTTCTCACGCCGCGCGATTGGCAGCAATCGGCAGCGCGAGTGTCAACGCGCAGCATAGCCTCGGCAGTGGCGGTGATGGCGCAGCAGGCGCAGCAGCAAAGGCCATGCCCAGCTCCCTCTGCGCCACCGGAGCGTAGTGCGGGTGTGCGCGATGCCATCCCCGTGGGCGTCATCAACTGTGCGCTGGTGGCGAGCCTCTGTGGTCCTCAAATGGCCCTTCTGGCGCTTCGATGCCGCTGCAGCCGCGGCGCAGCTCGACGCGCACGGGCAGCTGTGCTCTCACAGTATGCCATTGCTACACACAGCCTATGGGAGGGTGCACACTTTTACCGGATCCCGCCGGGATCCCATGCTGGTGTGCGATGCTGTTCGGAGTGCCACTCGGTGGTAGCTGCGACGCGAGCGCTGCTGGGTGTGCCAGAGGCCAGCGCAGCATCCTAAGATCGAGCCACACCAGTGGCCCTGTCACGCCGGGCGGAGAGGGCCGCGTTTGAAGCAGCACAGGGAGCCGCACACTTTTACTTCGCACGTAAAAGTGTGCACACACCGGTGTGCAAGCAGGAGAGTCCACACAGCGTGGGTCGGGCCCAAGTGAAGGGCTAGCCTGTGGAGAGCTCAATGCACACACTACTGCCTGGGCCGTATCCACTAGACAGGCCACATAAGGCGAACGGCGTGCGCACATGGGGCACCCGAGATCAACCACTGGTGTGCGCGTGCGTGCAGGCCGGGTAGGGCTCCTCTAGAATCGGCGCACGAGAAGGGCGGGAGTACCACCTTTCTCGCCCGCTCAAAGCGCGCCTGGCCGTTGCGAAGCGAGCGCCGGAGACCCGCGAGGCGAGACGCGGAGCGGGGGCCCATGTCGGGGCAGCGCGTGTGCGCGTCCCGCTCACGGCTCAGGCGCCAATCCGACAGCATGACCCACGCCTAGCTTGAGAGCAATGCAGATTATGCCCACTCGCAGTCCATCATAACGGGCCTCTTATGTTCACCCGACAACCTTCCGAAGCGAGAGCTGGCAATGCGCCGTCCGGGCTTGTGCGCCTAGGCGCGGCAGTCAGCCGACTATCGGCGGTTTGGACTGGCTCTCGTCAGCTGCACGCGCGCCCGGGTTGAAGCGGGATGGAGTGGTGACACCGGGCGGTGCGTCAGGCTACCCGACGACGTTGGAGTCACTGTCACACGTCGCGGACAGCCTGCACACACGGCGGGGCCGGTGCGAAACGGGTGAAAAAGAGACTTTGCGGATTTCAACCGACTATGCGGGTTTTCGTGCAGGTGGGGTGTCTTTCCTTCTCCTCCTCCGTCCGTTTGAAAGCGGCCAATGTCCTCAAAGATAGAAAACACACAAAGGGTTTTGCAGCATAGCTGCATAGGCACCGGGTCTGGCAGCACCGGCTCAACGCCGCGCCCCGCGGTCGGTGCAAGCAGGGAATGTTCCCGCTGCTGCAGCCTCCAGTCGCGGTGCGGCCTCCGCACTCTCGGCGTTCGCCTCTCGCCCTGCTGCAGCATCCGTTCTCCCATCTCTGGCTGCCGTTCGCCGAGCGCCTCCTCAAAGCATGCGAGAATCTCGTCGCTCTGAAGGTCAGTCTCGAGCACGTCGTCAGCAGCGCGGATGCTCGCCAGCACGGCCCGCCGTCGGTCGCGGTCTCGTCTTAGTTCTGGCAGCGTCGGCGCCGACCTGCTCCCGCGCTGGCCACGCATCATCGAGCAATCGCGTAACGGGAGGCTCGCGCTGGCTTTTTGCGGCTTTTTGGACGGCTTTTTTGGATTCTCCCGCCCTCCCACCCCTCTCTTGGGTTTTTTCAGCTATGTTGTTAGATATGACATGTTCCGTGTTCCTTTTTAGATTTTACCCATTCTGCCATCTCACACAGTTAGAGCTGTTTAACATTAACTTTGGGCCTAACAGTTGCGCTAGTGTTGGCTGAAATCCTGAACGTTGTTCAAGTGTTCACCACAGCCCATGCTGTTACTGTTTGTTACTGTGGCGGATCTATGTGGTCTGGCGTATGCCAGGCTGCGGGTCCAAAGTGTCCCGGCGCGGCGCGCGCCACCGCCCCCGGCGCGGGGCGGGATGTCAGTACGTGAGTACGGTGTCCCTGTCCCTGTGCCCCACTTTCTTCTCCCGCGTCAGTCCCTGAGAACTCCACTACATAGCGCCACCTCGTGAGCTGTCCTGTGTGAGCTGTGTGCTGTGTGTCCAGCAGTCCGGACCCGGTGCTACGGCCGGTGACAGTGCGCCTCGTGTCGGCTCCCGAGCCAATCGTGTGCAGCGTGTGTGTGCGTGTGGACCCGTCCTCCATGCTAGGAGGTGTGTAACACTGTCTGACTGACTGTTACTGTTGTTCAGCGGCCAGCAAGCAGAAAATGGCAAAAAACCCGGGTAAACCCCGAAAATACCTGGGTTTTCCCGGCTGTTTTCGGGTATTACCCGCACTGGACGCTGGAGATCGTCGTGGGTCACTGCCAGGCCTTCCTTATTGTTGTTCAGCCGGCCTAACGTTAGCTACTGTTGTTGGGGAGCCCAACTGTTGTTCTGTGTTGTTACTTGTTAACACTAGCAACACTGTTCAGCTCCCACAACGTTAAACAGCTCTACTCACAGTAGAGAGGTGTCCGTTGTTATTTATTTATTTTTTGCCGGTTTATGCTTTATCCCACATTCGCGATTCACCCCCTTGGAGTGTGAAGGCTTCGTAGCGGCCTCCGGTCTACTACGCAGGATGGGAGCGAAAAAAAGCAAGCGAGTGTTCGCGATTCGGAATTCGCGGGAGACGGGAGGACGACGACCCCGGCTAGTCGCCGACCACACCCACGTGTGACACAAAGACCCCTGCACAAAGATCGCACGGGCGGGGACCTGTTCCCTTTTACCCATCTCACAGTCGAGGTGTACGTTGTATTTATTTATCTCTGTGGATCGCTGCCATCGTGTATGCCTGTCTGTGCCCTGTGGGCGCCTGCGCCCGCCGCCTCCTGAGCGGGGTTCGGCCCCCCCTGTCTGAAAACAGAACAAATTCGAAAGCAGCCAAATTACTGATCTAAACGAATCTGAAAGCTGCCGTGCGGAAACCCTTGTTCACAGCCGACCCGAAAACGCCACCCTTCCCCTGCTTCACCCCTGATGCTGCTTCATGTGCTGATTCCCCGCGCCCCCTCCTTGCGCCTTGTGCCCCCACCTTGGGCGTCTTTTCTACTTCCACGTGAGGGTCGATTCCGCTATAGGACTCCACATGGCCCATACGTGTACTCTCGTGAGTGATCGATTCCGCTACGACTCCACTGTCCCATACGTGTAGGGGGGGGGCGCCGGGGGCGCGGGAGGAAGCTGGCGCACCAAATCGCACGGTGTTATGCATCCGCAGTTATCTCTAGCAGTGTATATACACTCAATGCTGTCTTAAGGTCCGACCTGCGGGCACCGCCTGCGCTTCGGCACCGGGCACCGACTCTCGGTATATCGACGCGGACACACGTGCGTGCCACTGACTGACTGACTGACTGCCTCCGTCCGTGCCTCGCTCGAGCGAGCTCGTTCGTTCCTTGCTCTAGTCCTTGCCACGCCGCACGCGCGCAGCAGCCAGCCGCACGGGGGAGCCCACGATCGCCGCCCGGGGCCCCTCGCCCACACACTCTCGTTTATGTTAGCTCAGCTGCACCGTAGCGGCCCCCGCCTCAAACTTACTTGAACCCAAGTCCCAAAGTTCCGGGGCCCGGGGGCGGTTGACTATTGCAATAATGGCCAACACGCCTTTCGCCACGCCGTCTCTCGACCGCGAGACGCTTGATCGCGCCATCGTCCAAATGGGGCGTCCTGAGGCATGGAGTCCGCTCCTGCAGCGGCTCAATGACGGCAAGCCTCTTCGCCTCGGAGTCTTTGGGGCCTCTGTCGCACAGCATGGTGGCTGTCTTGACCAGCCCTACAAGCGGTGCATGGAGTTTGACGGTGTGAGCTTGGCCGAAATGTCATGGGGCGAGCCTCGTCAGCGGCCAGTCAAGGGCTGGGCTGTTAGCCTTCTCGAGCACTTCAATAGCTTGTGGCCGCACCCGCAGCACCAGCTCAACAACAGCGCACTAGACGCCACGCCTGCGCAGGCAGTGCTGCCCTGCCTCTTCTCACATTTTCCAACTCAGCTCGATATGGTGGTCCTTGAATTTGGCTCGATGGCGCAAAGTCTTGACCGCTTCGCTGTCGAGGCCGTCGCGCGCAGGTTGCTGATGATGCGCCCTCGCCCGCTGCTCCTCCTCCTCTCTGTGCACGCCTGGTGCAACATGGCGAAGTCGCCTGGCACACCACCCGCTCTTTTCCGCGAAGGAGATCGAATCGGGTCGATGCGCTATCCGAAGACGCCGTGGTCGGTCGTCGAGGACGAGGCGAGTGCGGTGTGTGAGCGGTATGGCCAGGCGTGCATCTCTGTGCACCGTGCGCTGATGCCACACGTCAGAGCAGGCGCCACCGGCTTCAGCATCGATGACATTACCGGCCCAGACTGCCTGCATCCAGTCAATGGCCGGCATGGCCTGCAGTACGTCGATCAGATGCTGCGGCATTATGTGGACCGCGTGCGGCTTGCCTACTCTCGGGGCGGCCGCGGAAGCGGAGCTGCTCGCGCGCCACCGTGGGACACCAGCGGCGGGAAAGCGGGCAGTGCGGCCTTTCCCACTCCGCTGCACCGGCGGAATTCTGTCTCGCCGCCCGCGGCTCGCTGCTACTCCTTCTTGCAGCCGACAGTTCAGAATGGCCGCCTCAACCACCTCTTTCAAACGAGGCAGCCGATCGGCTGGCAGTCGGCGAGCTGCGCCGCTGCCGGCGTGTGGCACCCGACATCGGTGCCCACGCGGCAGCCTCCGCTGGCCGGATTGCCCGGCCGGAGGTACCACTCCGCGGGAGTGAGTGGCGGGGAGGGCTGTGTGGCGCGCGCGCCTCCCGGTGACGAGTGCCCGGTGTCTCGCTTCGCTGCTCGATTACCCGCCTTCTTGGCGACCAAGCCGCAGGGCTGGTTCTTTTGCCGCCGCGCGCTGAGCCGGAGCGCCAAGATCAGCCAGGGCGTGGTGGCACTCGAAGCGGGGGCGACCCTGCGCGCCGTGGTCGACACGCGCGTGCTGGAGGGCGAGGGTGCCGGCGCCGCGGACAACAAGAGCGCGGCTGTACACCTCGGCTTGCAGTACCTCGCCTCGTACGAGGGCATGGGAAAGGTCGAGCTGCGCTGCGTCAGCGTCTGCTCGTGCTCGACCCACATGCTCGATGCGCATCGGCCAGAGGAGCGCGCCTCCATCTACATCACCCACAATTTTCCTATTTGGGGCGCAGTGGCGCGATGCGAACTCCAGCTGCAAGTCCTCAACGCCAGCTCGCCCGGTGGCGGCACCAAGTTTAAGGTTCGCAGCCTCGTCGTCACGGCGAGCGCCCACAGCGACGCGGCGCATGACATACGTAAGTAGCAGTGGCACTCCAGTGGCGTGGGACCGGAACGGGGGATTTGTGCGGATTTTTGCCTTTGCAAGCACTTTTTCGTTTACGTTTTTGCGTGTCGGTGGTGCGCGCGCGCGGCACACGCACGCACACCCCGACCCGAGCAAGAGCCGCGACCCTGGACTTGTTCCGTCATTCTCCACATATCTGTGGTTCAGGGACCTCCAACGCGCACAACGGTGGTAAAGACTAAAGGGGTACGGTGGAGAGGAGAGCTGAGATCCGTCGGAGAGACGTAGAGAGAGCCGCGCAGCCGCGCTAGAGCGATAACGGATCCACGCGCGTGTCTCTAGAGAGGCTCACCAAAATCACATGTGTCTAGTACGACGTCGCAAGCGCGCCCGATAGTCGTTGCTTACTCAGGTAGCCCCGCGACGTGTAGCCGCTGTGTCGGCGAAAGAGGAAGTCGTGCAGCTGCGAGAGGCGAGTGAGTTTGACGAGGTCGCCCGAAACAAAGGCTCGCAGGCTCGCCTCCTCCTTGTCGCGGCGGCGGCGCAGCGCGTGCGCTGGCATCGCGCCCACGTCGTCCACGGCGTCATAGGTGACCTCTCTACCCTGCGCAGGCAGCGGCTGCAGCCCCTTGAAGACCCAGTCGTAGATGGCTTGCGTGCGCTTCATCTGGAATTCCGACGTGATGATGCGCAGCCTGGACCAGTCTGGACGGACGTCGATGTGCATCACGCGCGCGAAGAAGGCGTTGCCGATGGTGTCGTCGCTGTAGCCCTCAACGTAGATGTCCTCGGCGCGCACCCCCATCGCCTCAAGCTGCTTGCCCATGAGCGCGGCCTCCGGGACAGCATATCCGTTCGCGTCCACCCACTTTGGCTTGTGCGTCGTGCCACCACCGTTGCACACGATGCCTGGACGCAATCCTGCGGCTGCCTGCGCTGCGTAGAGCTCAGCCGCCCGGCGGAGTCGTCGCATGACCGCCTCGTGAGGCACGCCATCGTCGCCGACGCCGCCTGCTAGCACGATGATCGCGTCGTCACCCGGTGTGCGTCTGTAGGCGAGCGTCAGCGCAGCGACCAGAAGCAGACAAACGAACCATCGAAACATCAAGGCTAAAAGAAAACGTCCTAATTTCCGGGGTATGGTATGCTCGGGCGAGCGAGCACACACACACACACACACACACACACACACACACACACACACACACACACACACACACACACACACACACACACACACACACACACAGAGAGAGAGAGAGAGAGAGAGAGAGAGAGAGAGAGAGACTACGCCCTGTTTCCGACCCCTTTTGCGCAGCAACACCTTAGACTTTTAGGCCCTCCAAATTCGGGTCGGAGCGTAGCGGAGTGAGTGGGCCCCGAGTTTGAAAAGGGCGACGGACGCTTGCGTCCTAGCCTCCAACAACGCCTCCCCGGCGCAGAGGGGCCCCCGGAGGGATGCTCAACCGCTCCACGCCACGCCGCTTGCGGCGGTCCTATTCCCAGCTCCGCTGAGCCGCCGTGCGTTATTCGACTCTCGTAAAATTTCAGGAGGGTTTAGTCGCGGTGCGGCCTCCGCACTCTCGGCGTTCGCCTCTCGCCCTGCTGCAGCATCCGTTCTCCCATCTCTGGCTGCCGTTCGCCGAGCGCCTCCTCAAAGCATGCGAGAATCTCGTCGCTCTGAAGGTCAGTCTCGAGCACGTCGTCAGCAGCGCGGATGCTCGCCAGCACGGCCCGCCGTCGGTCGCGGTCTCGTCTTAGTTCTGGCAGCGTCGGCGCCGACCTGCTCCCGCGCTGGCCACGCATCATCGAGCAATCGCGTAACGGGAGGCTCGCGCTGGCTTTTTGCGGCTTTTTGGACGGCTTTTTTGGATTCTCCCGCCCTCCCACCCCTCTCTTGGGTTTTTTTTGGACGGCTTTTTTGGATTCTCCCGCCGTGCAATTGTCTTTTTTTTTTGGAGCGGCGGGCAATCACCCCGCAGCTCATGGTGACCCCACGCTCGAGGTCCGGTCGTAGTCGTCGCTGCCGGCGCCTGCTCTCCCTCTTCTACCTTGATTGGTCGAGCCCTCGCTGCGCCGACGACTGTGCCTCAGCTGCCGCGACGGCCGGCCGCGACGTGGCGATCGGAGGCGCTGCAGCCAAGAGCTCCCTTGGCCTCGCCGCGGCCGCGTTCGTGGCCTCGCTCTCGAGCTTCCAGTTTGGCTACGCGACCGGTATTCTCAACGTGCCGCAGCGAATCATCACCACCGACCTCGGCCTGGATAAAGACTCCATCTCTTGGGCCGTCGTCGTCTCCATCTGGGCGTTGGGTGGCCTCCTGGGCGCGCAGGTAGCCGCCGTGGTGGCCGACAGCCGCGGCCGCAGGCCCCTCCTCGCGCTGTCGGGCCTCACCTGCGGTACCTCGGGCCTCGTCGCGTTCTGCGCCGGCACCGCCTCGCTCGCCGCTGGTCCCGAGTCGGTGGGCGGCCGCTCTGCCCTGTGCCTGCTCGTCCTCTCGCGCTTCATCTCTGGAGGCGGGTGCGGCATGGCGACGGTCGCGGCGCCCCTCTACCTCGGCGAGATCGCGACCACCGAGACGCGAGGAGCACTCGGCTCTCTGGCACAGCTCTCAGTCGTGGTTGCCATCGTGGTCGCGCAGGGCCTGGCCGCGCTCATCACGCATCACCTCGGGCTGCACTGGCGGCTGGTGCTCGGCCTGCCCGCCTTCATCGGCGCCGCGCAGCTCGCGCTGCTGCCGCTCCTGCCCGAGACGCCGCGCTACCTCCTCTCGCGGGGCCTCGCGCAGGGAGGCGAGGCGCGCGGCGAGGCGCGCGAGGCGCTGCGCCTCTTGCGGCCGCGGGGCGGGCAGGCGTCCGAGGCGGTGGAGGCGGAGCTGGCGGCGCTGGAGCAGGAGCTCGGGGCGGGAGCGGGGGGAGGCGGACGGCGAGGCGTCCTCCTTCTCTGGCGCGACTCGCCTTCGCTGCGGCTGCCTCTGCTCAACGCCGCCGCCATGATGGTCGGCCAGCAGCTGAGCGGCATCAACGCGGTCTTCTACTACTCGACGACCTTCTTCTCCTCCGCCGGCCTCGACTCGCCCGTGGCCGGCACGCTGCTCGCGTCGGCCGTCAACGTGCTCGCGATGCTCGCCTCCTCGGCCATGATGGAGTGCGCCGGCCGGCGGCGCCTGCTGCTCGTCGGCGAGATGTAGCCGAGATGTAACTGAGATATAACCGAGAGATAACCGAGATGTGGCCGAGATGTGGCCGAGATGTGGTGCCTGCCGCTCGTCGGCATCGGAGGTGCTTCCCTCTTGAGCGTCCGCTGCGTCTCGGCAGCCTCTCGGCTCTATATCGGCTGTAGGGATCGGAGGGATGTTTCTCTCGAGCGTCGGCGTCACCGCCGCGCTGATCGGCAAGGCGCGCGCCAGTGCACACCACGAGGACGACTGGTCGCTCAACTGGCTCTCGGTCTCCTTCGTCCTCTGCTTCGTCATCGCTTTCGAGCTCGGACCCGGCCCGATCCCGTGGCAGATCGGCGCAGAGATCTTCCCCGAGCACGCGCGGGCCGCGGCCATGTCGGCCGCGGCGGCTCTCAACTGGGTGTGCAACGCGGCCGTCGGCCTCGGCTTCCCTGCGATGAGCAGCGCCCTCGGGTCGCTCGTCTTCCTGCCCTTCGCCGCTGTGCTGCTGCTGTGGCTGCTCTTCACGGCACGCTTCACGCCCGAGACGCGCGGCAGGTCCGTCGACGAGATCCAGGTCGAGTTCCGGCGGCTGGCGGCCCTCGGCTCGAGGAAGCCGGCGCGGGCGGAGGGAGACGGCGTCCCCCTCTCCTCCATCCGGCAGCCACAGGGCTGAGCGAGTCCGAATTGCGCGCTATAACACAGGCCCTGCGCTGGGGGCGGCCTCTTGTGGCTGCCTTGGGGCCTCACGTTGTCACCTCGTCTCGCACCGACGTCCGCGAAGAGAGAAGGCGAGAGCCGTGTGCACACAGAGGCTGTGCGCGCGGGGTCCGTCTCTCTCCTCTCGCAGAGGTGGAGTTCCGTGTGTGCTGACTGTGCAGCCGCCCGTGTGCGAGCGAGACATAGCATACATACAACTCTTGTAGGTACACGTACTTGTACTACACGACACAGACAGTGTAAGAGTGTGGCCGAGCGTTTTTGATCTCTAGAGCTGTTTAACATTAACTTTGGGCCTAACAGTTGCGCTAGTGTTGGCTGAAATCCTTAACGTTGTTCAAGTGTTCACCCCAGCCCATGCTGTTACTGTTTGTTACTGTTGTTACTGCTGGTCTATTTTCGGGTATTACCCGCACTGGACGCTGGAGGTCGTCGTGGGTCACTGCCAGGCCTTCCTTATTGTTGTTCAGCCGGCCTAACGTTAGCTACTGTTGTTGGGGAGCCCCACTGTTGTTCTGTTGTTACTGTTAACACTAGCAACACTGTTCAGCTCCCAACGTTAAACAGCTCTATTGATCTCTCGGTCAGTGGGCGCCCGCCCGCCGCCTCTGAGGGGGTTGGGCCCCCTAGTCTGAAAACAAAAACAGTATTCTCGAAACAGCCAAAATCAGCCTGCGAGAGAGGCACACTGCGCGCCGCTGACCTCATGCGGGGATGTGTGCCGACACCAATACTGATCTAAAATCTGGAAATCCTTGTTCAAAGCCGACCCTAAGCGCCATCCTTCCTGCTCCCACCTGATAGCTGATGCTGCTTCCCCGCGCCGCCTCCTTGGCCCCCTTGGGCGTATTTTCTACTCCCAGTGGGGGGGGGCCCGCTGGGCCCCCGGGCCCCCTCTTGTTTTCTGTTTTCTGTTTTTCAAAACGCCCGCCCGCCCGCCACCCCGAGGCGGCTCGGCCCCCCACTGACCGAGAGATTAAAAACGCTCGGCCTGTAAAGTGGCTAGTTCCATTTCACTCTGACACGCTAATCTTGAAAACGTCCAACGGAGCTCCGTGTTGCTCCCAGCGCCCTCCCCCGCGCTTCCTGCGGCCCTAGCCGATGGTACTAGCATGGGAGGTCATCTGGCTACCGCGAGAGCGACCCAACTCGTCGACATCGTCCGATGATGGTGCCTCAAAGTCAGCCTTCGGAGGCTATCGTGGGGTCGAGCCGGCAGTAGCCGTGACATGTGGTTCCACCACCCCTCGTAGTCTTTGCCTCTGACCGCCACCGTTCCCAGGCTGCCTAATGGGATGGAAAGGAAGGCTCGGCGAGCGTATAGATGCGTGCTCGACCTCGTCGTGGCAACCTGCACGGCAGCGCTGGCAGGCGCGATGAGCGTCGTGCCACCTGACCCGAGACGGGTCGCAGGCGTCGTACCGAGCGCGTCGAGACCGTGTCCTGATGTGATCTGCACGGGTGAGTCACGTCGGCGTCAAAGTAGCGACGTGCGACCTGTCAGAGCTCGATCTCCGATCTCAGCGGCGTCGAGTCGTCTCCGGCGCGCGACAAAGGTACATACCCAGGACGCGCAGAGGCAGCTGCGACCCAGCCGAGTGGACGGCGGCACACCGCGCCACCTGCTGTGTGCCGCCGTCTACTCGGCGGGGTCGCAGCTGCCTCTGGAAGGCACCGAGATGTACCTTTTTGCGCAAATGGTCAAAATCAAGGTTTTGTAACGCGAGCTGTGCCACAGTGAAATGGAACTAGCCAGTGACAGTATTTTTTTAAACACCGACGTGTTTTTTTTTAGAGACGTCATCCGAGAGCTCGTGCTCGAGAAGTCTAGAGAGGTATCAGGTAAAGGAGAGGCGCGACGCCGGGTACGGACCACGGTGGAGCGGACCCTCGAGGACCACAGCTCGTAAGCACGCGCCCCCTTGTGTACCCGAACGCGTCGCGGTCGCGTTCCCACCCCCATATCTGCGGCCGAACTGCCGAGAAGGGCAGAGTGCAGCTGCCCCCTCGGCCTCGGCCGGCGCGCGGGCGGGCGCTCGTCACACATCGTACGGGAGGCCGTGCAGCCTGCGGCGCGACGCGTCGAAGAAGTCGAGGTAGTCGCCGCCGCGCTCCGAGGGGAAGAGCCTAAGGAGGAGACGCCTCTGTCCGGGGCAAGGTGCCGCGCGGGAGAGCGACCGCAAGAGAGGGAGAGGGGGTGCGCCGCCGCCGTGCGGCTTTGATCGAGCAAGAGCCTCGGCGATATCTCGGCGACATCTCGGCGACATCTCGGCGACATCTCGGCTACATGCCGCCGCTCTTGACGCGCAGGTCGAGGCGAGAGTCCGTCTTGAGGGCGGGGTCGAGGTTCACCTAAGAACCAGTCGAGGCTCACCTCGCACCGGCGCCTGCCCTCGCCTCGAGCAGCCAGCATGGCTGTGCTACAGCATGGCTGTGCTACAGCATGGCTGTGCTACAGCATGGCTGTGCTGCATCGCGGGTAGATCTCGGCTGCAGCACTCGCCTCGAGCAGCCATGGCTTTGCGTCGCTGTCGAGCATCACGTCGAAGCCGAAGACCTGCACAGGAGTTCTCCTCACCCTCACCCTCCTCCTCCTCCCAACCCCCTCCTCGCGCCACGTTGTAGGGACGGTGGCCTGGAAGCACTGCCGGTTGGGCTCTACCTATCTGTCTGTCTATGCCTGGAAGCACTGCCGGTTGGGCTCTACCTATCTGTCTGTCTATGCCTGGAAGCACTGCCGGTTGGGCTCTACCTATCTGTCTGTCTATGCCTGGAAGCACTGCCGGTTGGGCTCTACCTATCTGTCTGTCTATGCCTGGAAGCACTGCCGGTTGGGCTCTACCTATCTGTCTGTCTATGCCTGGAAGCACTGCCGGTTGGGCTCTACCTATCTGTCTGTCGATGCCTGGAAGCACTGCCGGTTGGGCTCTACCTATCTGTCTGTCGATGCCTGGAAGCACTGCCGGTTGGGCTCTACCTATCTGTCTGTCGATGCCTGGAAGCACTGCCGGTTGGGCTCTACCTATCTGTCTGTCTATGCCTGGAAGCACTGCCGGTTGGGCTCTACCTATCTGTCTGTCTATGCCTGGAAGCACTGCCGGTTGGGCTCTCCCCTCGCGTACGAAGGCAGGTACTCCTGCATCCCCTCCACCATGATGGACTCGACGCCTGGAGGACAGGACGACACGTCCGGGGGCACGTCCGCGGCCAAAGTCGGGTGACGCGGGAGGGGGAGGAGGGGTGGGGTGGGTGTGGGTGGGGGTGTGCTGCGGCGCCGATCATCGTCTTGACGACGATGTCGTCCACTCGCCGCCACACCTAGGAGTACACCTCGCGTCTCCTCGCCTCCCCTCCCAGCCTCCCGTCTCGAGCTCCGCCCGCCCGCTGCCCGCGCCTCGCTCGCCCGCGCCTCCCCCACCTCGCGCAGCAGCCTACAGGGAGGTAGAGTGTCGCCCGGGAGGCTGCGCTCGGCCCCTTCCCCCCTCCCCCCGCGACACTCGGGCGTGCGCCGCTGCTTGAAGGCTGCGAGGGACCACTTGGAGCCGCTGGCCTCGGAGTCGTCGTTGACGAAGCCGGCCGAGAGCTTGTTGAGCGAGTAGTTTGTTAGGTGCGCGCAGCGGCCCTGGAGGCCGGGGTGTGTTGTCTCACCAGTTGAGGGGCTGAAGGCTGAGGGCTGCAGGCTGAGGGGCTGGCGGGGGGGGGTGTTGGAGCAGGTCGCCTGTATGTCGTCGAGCGTGTACGGCTCGGTGGCGAAGCGGGCGAGCCCCTCGCCGTACTGGTACACGGTCAGCGGGTGCCTGCGAGGGAGGGAGGGAGGGCTGGTTTGGAGGGAGAGGCGCGGCGGGCGGGGCTACATCGCGGCTACATCGCGGCTACGTCTCGGCTACGTCTCGGCTACGTCTCGGCTACGTCTCGGCTGCATCTCGGCTACATCTGGACCAGCTGGTGACGAGGACGTAGATGCGGATGTCGGACTTGAGTCCGTCCAGGAGGAAGGGGCGGTCGAGGTAGCGGGAGGCGACGCCCCGCTGGCCCTCGCCCAGCAGCTGCTGGGGCAGCTCTGGGCCGGAGCGGTGGAGGCTGATGCCGCGCCCGCAGTACGCGGCTGCGGGCTTGACGATCCAGACGGCCTTTGGGTCGGTGCCTGACAACAATCACAACAATGAGGACTGCTGTTCTCACAACAATCACGATCCGGCGGCCTACGTGTCGGTGCCGTCGTCGCCGCTGGCGCGGATGTGCTCGCTGAGCTGGCTGAGCTGGTGGGGGAGGAGGAAGGTGGTGGGCATGAAGTCGAAGGCGTCGGCGCCGAAGCGGCGCCGCATCCGCAGGTAGTTTGTCCACAGGTTGGCCTTGAGCGTCAGGCAGTTTGCCTTTGGAAACTTGTTGACCCTCTGGTGCGGCTTCATCAGAGGCAGCTCGCACGGGTCGACCTGGCCGGCGCACCAGAAGATGTTCCACTCGGCGCCGGGACGCTCCACGCGCGCGAAGCCGTGGTCGCGCAGGATGACCTGCGGGCCAGGGGCCGATGTTGAGAGACGCGAGCGGTGAGCGGCGGCAGCACTGCCGCCGGTCGACGCGTGTGTGGCGAGAGGAGCGGAGGACTGCCTGGAGAATGTTGGAATTGTGCATCGTCTTGGAGTTGTTGTAGTAGGACAGCGTGATCCCATCGAGCGGATTGCGACCGATGGGACGGTCCTGCCACGAGCCCTTGTATTCGAGCGGGTTGGATGGCACCCGGAAGATGAGCCGCGGCTCCTCGTCGGGAAGCTCCTCAACCCTGCAGCGGCGGGAAGGGGCTGCTCGGAGACGACAGTAAGGGCGCAGCGAGGGCTGCTGGCGCACCACGGGAGCTGGTCTTGGCTGCTTGAAGCCATGGAGCGCGTTCAGCCACCCTCGAGCCGCAAAAAAAATCGGCAGCGCGGGGTCTGCCCGTCGGGTTGCTGCCCTAATCCCACCAGGGGTTGTCTGCTCTATTTATTTATTTAGAGCGATAATCCATGACGTGGACAGGGACGGCGGCTGATGTGATCTTTCCGTCCGTTACACATAGATGAAACTCGGGTAAACAGACGTTGGCATAGCGGGTGCCCTCCATCGCATGCATGCAAGAATCAGATCAGTGCTTTTGTCGACTATTGCTGGCTCTCTGTGCACCTGCAACGCCAGGGACTGTGCTTGGAGAGTGCCTCGCAGCGCTGCTGCGCCGGTGAATTGGGCCGCAGCGCAAGCTCCACTGGTGGTCGCGACGGTCAGGAGGACTCTGCCCGACCTCCCTCGCCTTCAGCAGCCTCCGCTCGAGGAGCTTGGCCTCGAGCTCCTCCGCCGCCGACCAGATGAGGATGATGTGGGCGGAGGCGGTGAATGGGCCGCTAAGCCCCGCCTTTGTGACTGTCTCGGCCACGGGCACCTCCTCCCTCCACGCGGTCGGCAACCGCCCGTGCGGAAACAAAGAGCGCCGGCGGCCAGGGCGCGGCCCGGGCATGGCGGGCACGTCCGCGGGGAGTAAAAGAGGGCGCACGGCGCGGTGAAGAAGAAAACGCCTCCGCGCGCGTACGCGAAGGGAGCCGCCTACTCTAAGCGCCAAGAAGAAGAAAATGACCCTGCGCGCCTTGCACAGGCCCTCCTGTCGATCTACCCTTATAAGTCTCTCGTGTCGGCGCCGATGTATGTATGTAGAAAGATGAGCAACAGTCAGGCTCGGACTGGACACCGACGCGGTATGGGTGGACGCTGGACAGATGATGACGACACGCACGAACGACACACAGACACAAACAAGCTCACAAGACACACAGCCAGCTGGCTGCCACACACCCTGAGTTGGCGTACACATAACTCAAGGCCGCGCCCCCCCCCTGTCCGATGCTGACAACATGAGGCGCGCGATTGCGCTAGACGATCGTTTGATGCAGGAAACTACGCGCCAGATCTACAGATGATGGCGATGACTGCCTTTGGTGAGATTGCAGGGCCCCGTTACTCTGACTGTTTTGTCGCCATTCGCTCGCACTTCGAGCTGGTGTTCGCCTTCCTGAACTGGTATCGTTTCGCAGGCAAGAACAACAAGCAGGTGAAGCGACGCAAGCGTGGCCTTACCTGCCGCGAAGGCTGCCCTTGTGCAACAGCTGAGGGTCGTGCGCGCTTCAGGCCCGGCGACACTTTTGTTCAGCGCGACGAGTTCGGCATTCACCCGGAAACGCGCTGCGGCGTCTGGAAGCCGCCTTGATCAACATCGCGTCGGCTGGATGCAGTTCGGCCGTATGCGTGAGTTGGATCTGGCGTGAGGAGATGCAAGCCGCCTTCTCGATCGATCGTGTCACGAGTGGGGATGGAGAACGGGGATCGTCTGTTATCTTCTGGACGATGGCGCCGAGACTGCAGCGAGCACCGGCAGGCAGGAAAAATTGCTGCAGGATATAGGGATCCCTACGACTGTATGGAGGTAGGATCAATGAGAAGATTGACCCCGCACCTCGTGCGGACGGCATGCACGTGAGGTTACTGCGTATATAGAGAGCCGTACTGAGAGCGACCGCGGAGACTCAAAGTGCTCCAAGATGCTGCTCTTTTCATATTTACCTACCGGCACACCCGTCTGGTATGGCTAACATCTCTGTCACACAAGGAGCCGAAGACGACACACGTCACAGGAGTGGACAGCAGCTCTCATACGTCATGCGATTACAACGTCGGATACGTGTTCTCGTACACTGTCTCACTCCACGTTCATCCCCGTTACGCGTTAGTCAAAGCGCCTGGCGTAGGAGGTGACGACTTTCTCAAAGTCGCTCTGTGAGACGCTGCCCGCCCCGGACGGATCCGACTGGGCAATCATAGCAGCCAGCTCTGCATCGTCGACATCCTCGCCAATCTCGTCTGCAATCTGCCGCAGGTCCGACGCGGTCAGAGCGCCGCTTCCCCGGCGGTCAAAATGGCGGAACGCCCTTTGAATGTCCTCCGGCCCCGGCCGCTCCGCTAACTTTGTCAGAAGCACCTTCGTGAAGCCGTCAAAATCTATCCGCCCGGTTCCGTCTTTGTCTGCCTCGCTCACAAAAGCCTTTATCTCCGCCTTCTCGGGCTCAGACCCCAGCGCTCGGAGCACCACCCACAGCTCCTCCGCATCGATCGTCCCAGAGCCGCTGGCATCGAAGAGATCAAACGCGTCCTGCGATGCGTGGGAGTCGCGCTCGCGGCCGGCCGCAGCGATGCATGCATGTGTGTGTCTTGTGCCGTCGAATGTGATGGAAGGCCGGTAAGATTGGCTCAATGGCCGGGATGGGGACAACGCGCCCGAAAATCGCGAAGCTGATCGTCGCGCAGCTCCTTCCTCCTGCGGAAGAACTGGGCGTCCTTCATTCGTCCTGGGCGAGCGGAGCCAGGCGGGCAAGGGCGAGCGGGCGCCCGGGCCGCGAAGTCGGTTACACGACCTTCCCGATCAAAACCATTTTTTTCGGCGTGGGATACGCGAGATCGGCTCTGACCTCTGTTTCTCTACTCCTGATAGCACGAAACTCGAAAGATCATAATTAATTATGACGAATGGGATGCCGTCGCGCTTCGTTCGCAACGAGTGCTTTGCGCGGCTCCTCCTTCCCTTAGAGCAGTTGCCGCTCGCTCTAGCTGGAAGCTAGAGCGAGGCCTTTCCCGTTTCCGTTTTGAATTCCCCAGGCGCCAGGCGGTTGAAGTGTGTGTGCACCTCCCGGCATGGCCAGCCCTGGTCTGCGGGCCGATTCTTTTTGCGGTATCTCCCTCTAAGCTCTATCTCCCTCTATCTCCCCGTATCTCCTCGCATCTTCTCGCATCTCCCCGTATCTCCCCGTCTCTCTTATCTCCCGGTATCTCCAGCGGTACTAGAGAGTCTCCCGGTATCTCCCGGTATCCCGCGGTATCCCGCCATATCTCCCGCCATATGCATATCCCGCCATATCCCGCCATATCCCGCCATATCCCGCCATATCCCAAGATGCAGAAACAAGCTTTCAGTGCCGACAAGTGTAGGCACTGGATTATCGTGCGCGCGGAGCGCGCTGGTGCTACCCGGACACACGCGCGGAGCGCGCTAGCTGGACACACGCGCGGAGCGCGCTAGCTAGACACACGCGCGGAGCGCGCTGGCACCTATGTGCGCGGAGCGCACCGCGGTACCGGTAGAGTCTAGACACATGAAGACAGTCGGTTGCAGTCAGTTGTGGCCACGCTGCTTCGAAGCTGGCCTGACGTCGTAGCACGCGTCTGGCAGACGCTGTGTCTCTGCCTTCTTCCGCGTCATGACCACACCCCGCTGCAGCGAAGCTCCAATGCCGCCCCTCTGTGCATGTGACCTGTCGTTGTGGTGAAAGCGGTCTTCCCAGTTGAGCCCGCCCCAGTTCTCGAGCGCACGGTTGATGAAGGGCACGGCGACGGCCGCATGTAGCGCCCAGAGACACGCGCGGAGCGCGCCGCTGCAGAACACGCGCGGAGCGCGCCGCTCCACAGGCGCGGAGCGCCGCCACTTGGGATTGGGCCTGTGGGTGGGCCGAGTGGTTCCTAGCGTGTGAGTCAACTCTTAATAGAAATCGCACCTAGCCCTCCTCAACCCTCAAAATTTTCTTCGGGGCGCGCTCCGCGCGCGGCGCTCCGCGCCTGACTCCTTGAGCGGCGTAGGCGCTGGCTCGCGCATGTTCTGCAGCTTGGTCTGCGGCCCCCGGTTGGGACGAGTGCGCGATGCGGACGAACCGCTCGATATGGCCGGTAGTATCACCTCGAGACCTCGAGACCGCAGACTGAGTGCTCTCATCACGCCTCACGCCCAAGCATCCCTCAGGTCCTGCCCCTTGCCGCCACACGCACACGAGAAGCCGGGTGCCGCGGAGCCGTTGGCTGCCGCCTCACCTCCCCATCGAACGTCGCAGCACGCTCTCGCGCCAGGCTGGCCCGATGCCGCGCCTCTGATTGCAGCGCATCTCGCCTGCAGCCCTCTGATTGCAGCGCATCTCGCCCTCCATCTTGCACCCAGCGCCGGTAACCGCCCTCCTCCTCGTTCGCAGAAATGGCCAAGCTCTCCTCGCTTCTCCTCCTCGTCGTCGCTGTGTCTGCGCAGGCCCTCATGCCAACCACACGCGCAGGCGGCACCGCCGCGGCGTCGCCCGTCGCCGCGTCGCCACGGCCGCGCACAACGCCGGTCGTTCTGGCGTCGAACCCAATCATGGAGTTCTTTGAGAGCCTGGTGCAGAAGTCCTCCACGCTGGGCAAGGACATCACGCTCGCCGAGGCGAAAGAGCTTTGCCGCGACCCAGAGTCGTCCGGCTGCAGGCGC